GCGGTTGGTACTCCAGTGTCCCATATGCGTTCCTATGTGGCCATATGTGTTCTTAAGTCCTCCCTTCGGTAGGCAACTGGTAGCATGTCCCCTTCGGGATATGTTTCCCAGTGTACCTTGGTAATCCTGTGTCAAAGTCGGATCCCAAAAAAAAAAAAAAAAAAAAAAGAGGTAAGGCTCGGGGGTTCAGTCTTTCACAGGGCACTGGAAGACAGCTTGAAGATGGCGTGATGGCACAGACCCCCAATCTCCGTCACTTCTGACGTAACTCGAAGTGACTACGAAAGGGAACGTCTCGGTTACGTATGTAACCCTTGTTCCCTGAGTAGGGAACGGAGACGTTACGTCTCCCTGCCACTTCTGCTGTATCGCTGGGTAGATGCCGAGTTCAGTCTTGGCTCCTCAGCGAAGACATACTGCGGTTGCGTTCACTTCCTCCTTTTATACTCACGGAGTAGGGCGGAGTACGCTATGCAAATTTCCGCAGCCCCAAGGCATTGCATGCCATTGGCTCGTGTTTAAATACTCGAAGAGGATTGGCTTTCTATGCGAAACCCCCAATCTCCGTCACTTCTGACGTAACGTCTCCGTTCCCTACTCAGGGAACGAGGGTTACATACGTAACCGAGACGTTTTTCTTATACTAGATATTATTATTATTAAGATTATTTAAATACAGTGATGGATAACTGTTTGTTTAATATTAGATAAGTAATAAGGAACGATGTCCCTGGGTGAACATAAAAATAAGATGTCCCTGGGTCAACAAAAGATATTTCATTATTATTTTTACATAGATTACAGTTTGTCTTATACTACATATTATTATGGTTGTTATTATTATTATTAAGATTATTTAAATACAGTGATTGATAACTGTTTGTCTAATATTAGATGAGTAATAAGGAATGATGTCCCTGGGTCAACATAAAAATATGTCCCTGGGTCAACACGAGATATTTCATTATTATTATTACACTAGGCTACAGTTTGCCTTTTAGGCCAACTAGATATTGTATTAACATTGCTATAATTATTTAAATACATTGATATATTACAGTTTGTCTTATATTAGATATTGTATCGATATTATTTTGCTTGAAAACCCGGCATTATTGGTATTTGGTCCCACCCGCGAAAGTGTTTTGGTTTTCTTTTGCAAAAGGATTAGCATGAGGGTCTGCTAAACGATTGCAGGGGAAAAGTGATACATCAACGGGAGAAAAGATCCGACGATACGATCACGGGGAAAACACCATACCGGATCGGATGACGAAACGATGGCGGTCGGAGGAGATTCACACCTTATTTAAGCAGTTTAGTTCATGTTAGCGTGACTAATTAATTCATCATAAATTTAAAATGAATACATTACACTGAGTATACGGACAAATTGTACTTACCTCGCTCTGTGAAATGAAGCAGAGACGTTGAAGCCTGAGAAAATCAAAAAGTGGCGCTCGATCTGGATGATGTCACATGCTGAATCTGATTGGTTGATCAATTTTGCACAAGGCACCTCCCTTGTTGACCCAGGAACGCGTCTAACTCGGCAGAATCAGGACATGCAGAAGGCAAGGGCTCTCTCAAAGCAGCGGCTGTCTCACTGGATAGTGGACACCATTGCTTTGGCTTACCAGCAGTAAGGTCGACCGTGCCCCCTTGGTGTGACGGCCCACTCCACCCGGAGTGTGGCTTCCTCTTGGGCTCTAGCGCATGGCGCCTCAATAGCAGACATCTGCAGAGCTGCAGGCTCGGTGACACCTAACACATTCGCGAGATTCTATAACCTCCGAGTGGAGCCTGTGACCTCTCTTGTACTCGCTCAACCGGCCAGTACTGGACTCGCTCAGGTATCTTCGCTTGCTCGCCATTCCACTCCACAGACTGGATAAGTGCGATATTTCCTCAGCTGAGTCTTCTGTTGAAGCCCTGAGTCCTCCAGCACTGTTCATGCTGGCGCCAGTGTCTGTTGCCTGGGCGTCGGCTAGGTGCCTCTGTGTGCATGGTTCCTGCTTGTAACCTCCACATGTGTATTCTCCACTGTAAGCCTCTCTGAGCATGTGTCTTCCCTCGGCAAGACACCTTGCCACCCCTGGAGTTAAGACTCTAGCCACCCTACGTGTTGGTGACTCCAGTGTTACTCCATAAGCCCCCTTGGGCCATATGTGTATTCTTAAGTCCTCCCTACGGGTATGCATTACTGCGGCATAGTCCTCTGGGATATGCTCCCCAGTGTACCTTGGTATTCCTGTGTTAAGTAGGACTCCTCGTCCGTGAGTAAGTTCGACAGGGGTCAGACTTTTGCAGGGCACTGGAAGACAGCTGTGAAGGTGGCGTGATTACACGGGGGACCCCCATTCTCCATCATCCGACGTAACTCGGAGTGACTACAAAAGGGAACGTCCCTGAGTAGGGAACGGAGACGTTACGTCTCCCTGCCACTTCCGCTGTACCGCTGGGTAGACGCCTGAGTTCAGTCTCGGCTCCTCAGAGAAGACATACTGCGGTTGCGTCCGCTTCCTCCTTTTATACTCACGAGGTGGGGCGGAGATACGCTATGCAAATTCTGCAGACCCATGGCATTTTCATGCCATTGGCTCGTTTTGGCTTTCTATATGCGAAACCCCCATTCTCCGTCATCTGACGTAATGTCTCCGTTCCCTACTCAGGGAACGAGGGTTACACACGTAACCGAGACGTTTTTGCGAAATGCTAAATGTATATTTGTCTTTAAAATAAACATATATTTTGTTATAATATACAAATCAGTAAATCAGTGAGCTTTACATGATAAGTGGCTTCAGTTTCCAAACTCCCTTTGGAGCCACTTTGTGAGTTTTCGATGTGTATGTTTTCGTTTTTTTTTATTGGCATGAATAACCTGATTCCTCTTTTTTCCTTGACCCCAGGCTTTTTTTTTTAGATCAGTTCATCAGTTCATGAACAACATAACTGATAGAGCTACACCCATATAATTGAATCACAGTCCAGGGATCTTGCACAAAGTAATTATCTAGCACAAAGGACTCGGAGCATAGGTACGCACACACATCTTCACCATCATTATTGGCAATGAAAACACAACTCACATTCACATGAGCAAGAACAACTTGATTAGCAGCATGTGATATATGGTGGTTATATATATTATGGCATATTATTCACTGAGGTAATGTGTCCAGTTTCAGAAAACTGAGAGGTGAATGACTCAAGATACACACTCTACTAGACTAGTCTTTATGGATGTTGTCTTTGCTAGTCCTCCGTCTGCTGGCCTGTAAACAATGACCTCCCGCACATGATGAGTAAATATTTGCATTTTTGTGAAATAGTGAAGGGTCATGGACAAACTGCACCTTTCATGCAAAGCCAGCAGGATTTCTTTGAAGTCTTTTTTTTTCTTATGGGGATTTTTAATTTCAATTAATTGTTACCTTGCGAAACAAATATTTGGAACACTAATGGCTGTTTGGAATGAAATATTAGTGTAGCTAATATAGTATTACTGTAATTCTAAGCGGCATATACTGACCTCATCACATTGCATGTTCAGTAATTGGTGCCCATTCATCATTTTGGAACTAAAAACAAATATTTTATAAATGTAATTTGATCTTGTGTTTTTAAATCAATGAGCTCACTTCCTTTCCATTAATCATACAGGAAATGGGAGATCAAATTGAGAACAGTGCATTGTAAGATCAATTTTAATGTTCTCAGACAGACAGACAGACAGACAGACATACAGACAGACAGATGGACGGACGGACGGATGGATTGTTAGATATATAGATGCAGCCATACAATGTTTTAATGTAATATCAATACGTCATTTTGTTTGCATGAGAACAATGTTTTTATGAATCCGGCACTCCCTCCTTCTCCAACCTTTCCTGTTAAACACACTGAGGCACAAATAGAAACTTTCAGAATGCCTGACTGACTAAACCAATAAAGATGACAAAACCAGCAGGAGAGAGGCTGGAAATGGGAGGCGGGAGGAACCGGGTCTTTCCTGCCATAATCAGAAGTCAGAGCATTTCCTGTCATTGTAGGAGCTCCATGCAGAGCATTTACCATTCTGACACACAAACATACACACTCAACCATCTGCATTCACACATATAAGACAAAGCGTACAGATTTACAACTCTGAGGCACTTTCACGACACACATTCCTGACGGGCGAATGGAGAAACAGATCACAGCCCATTTGGCAATAATCGACTCGCTGTGGGTTTTGAGAGATCATAAATCAGTGAGACTCGATAAATATTTGCCCACTGTTATCTTTCTTACCTAATTTATATATGACTTCGGTGGTGATAGTTTTTTTATCAGATACCAGTCACTGCAGTGCTTCAAAACACTGGAAAAAACAAACAGCATTGAATGACTAAACCAAATCAAGGTTGCATGAATGCCCTGCAATGTTTGTTATGTAGACACCAACCTGAACCACGTCTAAGACTGCATGAGTGTGTGTCATGGGCATTTATGAATGGTGAGCAATGTGTGAATGGCACCATACTAAAAGTTCTCAGCCTTTTTTATGAAGGAACAGTCATCTTCGCTTTTATTTAAGGAAACACTGTGTTTTGCAAATTGTATCAAATAACCAAAGCAAGGAAATATGTCATGATTCATGTATTGTTTGAAATAGGCATTGAACAGGCTTTCACACTACAGATTCAGTTCAGTCTAGTCAGCCGTGGAGAACAAAACTACTAGGTTGGGGCAACCCTTATAACTCCTCACACAGGCAACGAAGCATGCAGACAGAACAGAATGCAGACCACTGCGGTCAGACTCAACCTCAGCATGCAGAAGAAGTTCATGTGAATCAGGAGAGAGATTGCTTTCAGGGAAAAACAAGAATAGAAGTGGCTTGTGACTTTAAGAGCTAATACACAACTATGACTTGCAAAACAGCTTCAAATTTTCAATGAAAAGCACATGGACTCCATTCTAACGTTCCATTTTTTTTTTCGAAAATCATTTTATTGGGAGAACTACAAAAAAAAAATAAAAAAAAAATAAATGTACAGTACAAAACAGTCTCACACGCAATTTGTAGTGAACTGACTCCCCAAAAACAAACGTTACAAATCCTGTTCTTTTTGTCTTTTTTCCCATTACATTCAAAAAGCTTTACTTCTGATTAAGTAGTCAAAAAAGGTACATAGTGCGAATCCCCTGTACCTACTATGTACAATCTCAAATGTGTTTAAACTCTTCCCTGTCCAGCAAGTTTGGAAGATTCAGACCATTACCATATCATAGGAAAGCAAGAGAACAAACAAAAAGGCAAAACAATGCAAGGAACAGGGAGTAATAGAAAGAAAAATACAGCTTAGTGTTGCTCTAAGCCTCTAATCCTCTCCATCAATAAGTGGTATAACAACCTTCCAAGAAATTACAAACTACATTCATTTCCTCTTGTTGCAAAACAATAACATGTACGAAAATACTTTATTTGGTTAATCATAAGGCAATGTAAGATGGTGAATCCCCACAGGCACTAAGCAGTAATACTGGGGCACTTGACTGCTACATTCTCATGCACATGGCTTCCGTGCGTTTTACATATACACGTAAATATAAGAAAGAAAAAATACTTTTTGGTTAAACGATGTACTTGAGATCTTTGAAATCTGTGAATTTCTATGAAAAACTAAGGCTAGTACACGTTCGGACGGTCCTCTGCCAAAATACAATTTATACATTCTACAGACATATCCAAAAGGGACACGTCTAATAATTCTCCAAAACAAGTAAAAAAAACTCTAGTAAAAAAGTAACATCCCAACAAACAGCAAAAATCACACAAACTTTTTTTAATGAAGGTAAACAAGGAAACAAAATTAATGAAATAAATATAACATACAACCTCTTAAATTATTTTTTGTACTCTTTTACAATAAAATAAAGTAACAACAACAACAAAAAAAAGAGACCAAACAAAAATATATATTACTGTGAAAAGAACATACACTCCACTTTATGTAGATTAATAATGGCGATCTTAATTTAAACATAGAAGAATATATATCTATTGCTTCATCATACTCGATAAATACAGTATGGACACAATTAACAATGTAGCCTATACTTTTCACAAGATAAAATAAATAAGTTAAATAGTTTATAGACAGTTATGCACTGCTATATAATCACACAAAACAGCTAAATATATATATATATATATATATTCAACCATCAGCAGTGATTTCCCAACAAACCAAACGAGTTTCAAACTGCACAAACCAACTGAACCACTGGGTGGCGCCGCGAAACTGGATAAACTTTTGGAATGGAAGTACATACTTTGAAAACTTGTATACTTTTTGTCAAGGCATATTCTTGGCAAGATAGAAGGAAAATCTGGAACCGCTCTGTCTTTCACGTTAAAAAAAAACAAGTCTTTTGTACACATCTGGAAAGTAGTTAATGCAACAAACTGCACCGGTGGAATGCCATCAAGCAGTTCAAACAGGCGACTGCCATGTCAAGAGTCTGACAAACAAATCCATCTCCCTCGATATTAAAGTCTATTGCTGAATTTGCATATCTAACGGGAGAATAGCGAGAGAAAACGAATCCAAAATTCACTATAAAAGCGGATTAATCATCGGAAATCGACAGCCTGCTGAAGATTGGCAAACGTTTCCCGCCGTCCAGACTGGGAGACTCGGAGCCGCTGAGACTTCCGGAGGAGCTGAGCGAGCCGCTAGCGTAGCTCTCCCGGTCCGAGATGCTGTCCGGCGGGCTGGGGGGCGAGTCGAACACTGGCGACTCCGACAGGCGGTGGAGGGACTGCAAGTGGACGAGGCCGTCGCCCATGTTGACCTGAAGGTCCCCACAGTAACCGTTGTGCGTGTGCACGGCCAGCGGCGCAAACGGAGTTTTGAGGTCTTGGTCGGGGAAAGAGAAGGCACTGTTGCCAAGGCAACGATTTGACGAGAGAACGTCTTCGTAGAAGTTAGTGGTGCAGGGGGAACCATTGGAAGATGGTGGTGGGGGAGTGCGGGACGTGGGGCTTTCGAGAAGGGGCGAGTCGAGTTCATGGTGGTGGTGGCGGCTGGAGAAACCCGAGAAGCTAAGGCTGTGGTGGAGTTTCGGTCGGTCCCTGAAGGATCCCGCCGCCTGCTGGTGCTGCCCGTAACCGCACAACGGCTCCCCCCTGGGGGGCTTGGTGGACTCTCCCTGCATACTGTTGGCGTTGCTCGGTGCTGGTCTGCGTTCGTCGGCATTATGGATGAAGTGACAGCGCGGGCCGTACGGACAGAAGCCAATCGTGTGGAAAGTGCGACAAGGCTCGGTTTTGTACTTTGGGTGGCGAGACAGACTTCTAAGCTCGTGGTAGCCGTGCGCGAACTGGCACTTTTCGCCGTATTTGCACGCGCCGTTTTCCTCGAATGGCCTGCAGAGCTCCGTCTTGTAGCGGGTGGAGTTGATCTGCGAGCCCGGTTTCTGCTGCAGGATTTGCAGCTGCTGCTGGCCGCGTTCATAGCTCTCGCTGCTGTAGGCGCGGTCGCGAAACTTGTTCTCCTTATTCATTGTGGCGTTTTCCTTCATGTTGCTGTAAGAGCTGGCGGGATACTTGTTGCCGTTCGTCATGGACTCCATGTTGCTGGTGGAGTTTCGACGGAAGAATCCTGACTCGTACGAGTTGCAGTTGTTGGTACAACTGCTTGAGGTTGTTACCGGGGCCCCGACGGCTTTCTTATCCAGCATGCTGTTAATGTGAATGGCGTTCATGTTGAGGCTCTTCTCCTGCTGTGCAGAAAAACAGTTAAAAATCAATGCATAGTAGTTGCAAAACTATTTATGTACTTGTTTCAGCCATGCATTAAGTTCTTTATACTGAGAAAACTTCTCGAAACGCCTTAATAAAGTCCCAACAGAGAAATGATATACGTAACGTTAGTTGTGGGTTAAATTAGCAATGAAACGTTACCTTGTACAGCATGTCGATCTCGTAGAAAGCGGATAGGATGTTTGCAGACATTTCTGTTTCTTCGGAAGAAGATAGTTTCAGATGATCTCTCATTTGCGGACCAACCTAGATCCTCAGGAGGATGCAAATGATTTAGTTTGCCACTGTCGTCGGGTTTGTGCAAAAGATAATAAAATATAAAATGCTAGTCTCAGAAGTTGTCTGAAACTCAGAGAAGGAAGGCTGATTTCCTAGTTGCGTGTTTTTGTTGTTAATATCTTCTCCCACCGTGCATTGCCGAGCCAGAACAGTAGAGTCTGTTTCACTCTATCCCGCACATATAAGCTCGTGGTCAGCGCGTAAAGAGGAGGAGCTCTCAAACTTACTGTTAAAGTTGCCTCAAAGTTACGCCCTGCTTTTCAAGTGTCGCCGGGACTCAGATCTCATTGGTCACTCTCTGCACCCCCTCGTGAAGTGCACACACTTTTACAGCACAACCTACAAGGTTGTTTTTATACATGGGTTTAAGATTTAGTGCGGTGTATTTTAAAACCAGAAAATAATACTCTAATATAATATATACAAACTACCATAGAAAATGTAATAAAAGTAAATACACATTGGATTTAGTAAAGCACAGGACCACAGTTATAATATATAATTATCTAACTGTGTTAATAGTCTTCTCACTAATTTGTTCTCATTAATAAAGTTATTTTTGTCTTGTTTTTTTATTGTGCATCATATAAAAAGCATGCATTTTGTAACAGTGGGAAATATGAGTGAAAGTGGAATTAGAAGTAGATACAGTCACTCGCATAATGTTGTTGACTTTACACGAGGTTCATACGCGCGCGCCTGCAGACTGGTCGCTCTGATATTAGGAAATGTTGAGTATGATTGCATAATCTAGGCCGAGAGGCCTAACTTTGAAGTTGTGCCAGATTCTGGTGCATGAAGTGAGAAACCATGACTCGTATCTGCAAAGTTTCCCCCGCTCATTTCTTTCTCTGTATAAACACATATATACACATTTGGTTATTTATACATTGCTTTTGCGTTGTGTCCTTTATTAAAACAGAAAATGCACATAATAAGAATATTTTACCAAGCTGCTTCGTAACATTGAAAATCAAATCCCTCCAAGAAACTACAAGTTAATAAAAAGTACAATACTGCCCCCTAACGGGCTCAATGTTTATCATTGTTAAGAAAGGTTTGGGCGCCACCTACAGGCACAAATATAAAAGTAAAAAATATAATTCACTTCACAGTGCATGATGTTCTTTTCCTCCACCAGTTCCCATTGCACATCTCTGCAGTACCATACAGCATTTCAATTCCATTGTCACAGTTTTAGGAAAGCACGTCTATGAAAAACCCTCCTGATCCTGCTGAGGGGAATGGTAAATACGTGGTTTTACCCACCCCATGTGTGGGAGGAATAGGCTGCTGACATTCCTAAATATTACATTGTTTTACAGTTCAAAAGGGACCGGTGCAACTACAGGTCCCTAAAGGCAGCCCAGCTGTCTACTTAAACAGACACCAGACTGTTCCTCACACGTACATTTATCTAGTTGCATAATATGCACAATTCATTTTACTAAAAAAAGTGAAGCTGTGCAGTAAATTCAACAGTTTGCTCAAATACCACAATGTGTGAAAATGTGACATTGAAAAGAAAGCTGAGGAAAGTAAAACCTCTCAGATTGTCAGCATCACGAACACATTGTACAAAAATTAAAACCACATCAAATAAGCATAAAAAATAGTGTTCATGCCTGCATGCAAACCAGGAAACCACTGAGAGATTAAAATAGATTTAATCAACAACAACCCCTGTGTTATGTATATTTCACAGTCATCCAAAAAGTGTTTCCAGAAGACTCTGAGCGAGTGATGTTCTCTCTTTCAGCAATGTTGTCTTGCCATACACAATGGTGGCTGAAAACTGGAACAGCACAGGGAGGGCTTTCATTGAACTCTGAGCAGTGAGGAAATTGCTGTTTGCAATAGCTGACAGTCGGTCCAGCTCGGTGGCTCTTACGCCAGGTGAATATGCCACTTTTAAGAGCGCAGAGAGGTGTCCGTGCAACATCCGTGCCCACAACAAAGGCTCTGCCCACAGGTTAAGATCTCCCTTCTCAAAGAGGAACTCTTCATCCTGGATAAAGAAGAGAATTAGAAGAACAACCTACATTTTTAAACTAGATGTTCTTAAGACAATGTCAGCAGTGTTTGCATGTGCAGTTGCTAAGGTGTTCTCTGTGGTTTTTAGTTCTTTCATATGCAGTATTGTGTTCTGGGTAATATCTAGGGTGTCAATAAATGAAAGCTTAGTAGCGGAAGTCCTGGTGAAAAGCAACATGCCTGCTCACAAATGAATTGGCCTTATGCACAGCTGCACTACTTCCTGAACTTAAGCCAGCTCCTTGTTTCCTGTCTGCCATTATTGGACAAACTGATTAATTCAGGTGTGCCTGACCTCAGTAGTCACGGCAACAATAATCCGACACACCTGAATTAATCAAGTTTGGCCAATAAACAAGGACAGGAAACAAGGAGCTGGCTTAAGTTCAGGAAGTAGTGCCAGCTGCATAAGGCCAATTGTTTTATATTTTTTCCATAGTCTTTAATTCAATTGTCATTCACAACGCTTCATGGGATTGTAGTTCTTTCCCTAATTACATATGTTATAGTGTCTTGTACATTGGTAAACAGCCTCTTAGAATCAGAATTTTTAATGTTGTGAATCATCTTCAGTACATCAATCATACAGTAGCTGGTTGGTTTGGCTCATGGCTAACAACTATTTAACAACGATTATGGGAAAATCCCTATGGATAAAATAAACCTCTAAAATCAATGCCATTGAAAAAGTGATTTTAAACATTCAAGTTAAAAAATGGCAGCAGTCTTTCTTATGTTGTCAATCATGGATGCATAATTGCGTGTCTTGATTCCGACGCGAATGGGGGAGTCATGTGCCGAAGTTTAAAAAGAAGCTAAACATGAGCAATATAGGGATACGTTGAAAAATTACACAAAAACAGGAAAAGAGCTCCTTACCAAATCTGGTGATTCAGCGCAATTTGCATCCAATTGTTCATCTCCCAGGAGCCATTCTATCAAGTTCACCACACCAGCAGCAACATGGTCCCACATCTGGAAGAGCAGGCACAAAAGACCCAGCCCCATCTCCAGGGCAACCGGAGGAGAGACGGCACCCGTGGCAACACCTAGAAATGTGGCAGAACATAGAAGTCAAAAGTCTGACAGATTTTCCCTGACGCAGCACAGGATTCAGCAAAATGAATAATTCTGGAACACATGTATGGAAAATTGAAATAGATCAATTTAATGAGCAATGTCAATCTTAGTCTGGTTTCTTTTAGTCTCCAAAGTATTACTGGGTTCATGCAGTGGAGGTGGTGCCTTGCCACAATGAAATCTGCTCCCAATCTGAGATTTGCCAGAGCATTGGATGTAAAGCAACAGCCTGAGATTGATGCCTCGCTCTCTTTTTGTTCTCTAGACAGCACGTTTCCATCTTCCTCTGGCATGGAACCCATTTGAGAGAAACAAAACTATAACTCACAAACAAAACGTGCAGATTGGAAACCACAACGTGCCATATGTGCACAGGCATTTGAGGTCATTTCTGACTCAACGATCTGGGAAGTTGAATCTAAGAATAGATTCAGACGTAAGATAAGGGAAGTGAGAAAACAACAATACTTGACGCCCATCTAGGACTGCAGTCGACCTCCCTTTGGCTTTAACGACCCCAGTTGTTCATGCTTCAAAGCATTAACGTGAGAAATCTAATACAGAAAACTCCGGTTTCCCTCTATTGCCCCCCTTCCCGACCAGAAGATGACATGCAAATGACTTGGGTGACTTCAAAAGTCACCAGGAATTGCCAGTCAAAACCAAAAGAAAGAGCAAAGCAACACTTTTAAGGCAGAACTCTAGGAAAACACCGTCTGCACAGGAGTGAACGGATCGGCTTTCCAATGGAACCTTAAGTAGAGTGCAATGAGCTGACATTACGAGAACACGGAAAGATGTTGTTTGTGTAGACTCAAAAGATGAAATTTTCCTTTCTCTTAGTGATGTGTTGGGACGTACTCGCCCCATCTCTTGCTTTACTGGAGTCTGATGTCAAAGGTGCTTTTCATGCATATAGGCTTTGGTGCTGGATGCCTTCCAGGGCCGAACAAACCGACACCCAGACATTAAGAAACAATAGGAAACTCAAGCTCTTTCCATTCCTTTTTTTCTGTGGTTTAGCACTTCAAAACATGATTTCTCAATCTCAGTGCTTACTCAACAGGATGTTCTCTTTGTATCTGCAAAAGCAAGTGTTGTTGTTTTTTAGGATCACCTCTGATGTGTTTATTTGCATTTTGAGAACAATTTGAATAAGATACAGTTCCTTTAAATTCAAAATTGTCAAAACAAATTGTACCTTTAGAAGCTTCTCAATTGGATATCTTTGTCCATTTATCCTGAAAAGGTTCATATTTATCTATTAAGCGTACATATAACCATAAGGTACTAATATGCATGTTTTAGGGGTAGATAAGGTGCAAAGTTGTCCTTTAGGGGACTGCTCCAATGACAAGCTGTTGCACCTCTAATGGTAAAGTTTTATATCTTTTTTTTTTTTTTTTTTTTTTGACAGTGTATGCAGCAATATGTTTAAGGCCTTGCTGGACTTAATATAACCTCACCCAAAAATGTTGTCATCAATTACTCACTCTTAAGTCGTTCCACACCTGTATTTTCTGTGGACATTTTGAAGAATATTGGAAACCAAACTGTTTTGGGGCACATTAACTTCCATTCTATGGACATAAAAAGAAGACAATTTTCTAAATATCTTGAAAAACAACAAATGATACAGGTTGAAAACAACACAAGGGTGAGAAAATGACAATTTTCATTTCTCCGAACAATCCCTTTTACTTAACGTGAGGAAGCTTCTAGATTTTGGCTGAAGATGTAACAGCAGAAATGTTTGTGAGGTGTTTCGGGGCAGTTCGCCCAGCCGGTTTGTGTCTAGGCGCACACAGTTGTGCTGAGATTCCACAAGGAAGAGGAGGGCAGTTTCATTCCCGTAATCGATCTGTGGGAGTCGTGGAACTGGAACTAATTAAAAAACTTTCTGAATAATGAGAGCAAGAAGAGCTTTAGTGTGTGGCAAATCTGGGATGTGAGTAAGCGCAGCTGGGCGAGTGTCGGGTATCGGGAGTGAGGGAAGGAGGGGTGGCGGGCGAGCAAGCGAGCGGGAAGATGGCCTGGATGAATAACACCACAACCTCTCTAACTCCTTATTTACATCTGGTTCTAGCCTACCCATAATGCAACAGGGTCTCATAGTGGGTTCTCTCCTAATAAATGCTTTTCAAAACCAAATGACTAAATTGAGACCCCAAAATAAAAATTGTGTCATAATTTACTCAATCGAACCTATATGACTTTCTTTCTTGAGGTGGAACACAAAATATTACTTTCTGAAGAATATTCTGGCTGCTCTTTTCCATAAAGAAAGTGAATCAGGATGGGCGCTGTCCAGGAGTCAGAAAAACCATCATTAAAGTGCCATAAAAATATCCATTTGACAATAAGTCATCAGAAGCCATATGGTTGTTTTACAGAATAAAGCCATACAGGGTTGGAAAGACACAAGACAGATGTACTATTCATTTAGACTCTATATACATATCTCAGCAACATAAATCAAGTGTTACATAGATGAAAAAGAGGTAGAGATTTCAGTGCACGAGGGACCACATGTGCATGCTCTCTCAAACACATACTAGCATATTTGGACACACACCCAGAACAAGGTGCAAGAAGTCTGTGGGCAGGAAGCATTGGTGTGGGTGAGAGTGGTGTCAAGGTGCAAAAACACACACACTTTTACAGCTCTAACTTCCTTCAGAGATCTATGAGAACCAAAGAATTAGCGGAGGCTCTTACCCAAACAAACACATGCAAAAAATCTCATTCGTACAAACTACAGACAGACAAGACTGATGAGACTGACGAGATCTTAAACCAAGTATATTCTAAACATAGTGGTTCTTTAAATAATGCAATTATTTAAATCACACACAACTTTGCACAAATATAAGGGTATTAATTAAAATAATAATGATAATAATAACAATAATAGTGCAGTACATCTTATTTTCATGATTATGGCTCTGTCTGGATATTCAGCAGGCCATCAATATCAGGTGAAGCTCTGGAGACAGATATCATCTGACACAATTATGCCCAAACTGAGATGTCTGCTAGAGTTCTTTAGTGTCCTTTACATCAGCCTAACCTGTCTAGCAGGAGTGTTACAGTATCACCCATGTGTCTGCTGGTTAAAAGGCCTGGCACACAGTCACATCACATGACCCCAAGACTGATGGAAAAAGACTCTGTAACATATGTGGTACCTCACAATGCTTAGAATTCTTCCTGTGTCAATAGAATGTGATTGACCATTTTCAAGTATTGTCCAATCATTTTATCTATAGGATTAGTAAAATTCTTCAAGAAAAATTGATCCATCCATCCATCCATCCATCCAGAACATGTTGGTTGAGTTCTATTTACAAGCAAGGGCCAATATGCCTAAACTATTACTGCCACATACCTCTGCTTTAATGATTGAGCACCCTTGCGCTACATTTGGACACTACTGGTTTAATGGATGAATGATCCACGGATCAGTTCAGCCCTCTTCTTGTAATCCATTGCATGAATGGCTAAGGGGCATCTACTGCTAAAGACATTACACGGACAGCGCTGGAGTTAGACATGAGCTGCCTATGGTGAGAACGTCCTCAAAATGAAACCAGACGGCCAAGAACAATATCAACTGGAGTAATGCGAGCAACAAATGTTGAAGGCTTTTCAAAAGAGTTAAAATGATGTTGTACTTGGATATTACTTGGGGGAAAATTGTGGCAATTTACATGTAATATAATTACATTAAATATGACAAGGTGAAATTATTGCTAGTGTAAAATAAAATAGCATTCACATTATGATGACAACAATACATCAATGCAACATAATTAATGGTTCGTTTTGAGGATCAAACAAACCCTTAACGCTAAGCATTTAAAAGAGTAGTTCACTTTTTAAAAAAAACAAAAAAACAAACTTTTGCTGATAATTTACTCACCCCCATGTTATCCAAGATGTCCACGTCTTTCTTTCTTCAGTCGAAAAGAAATGAAGGTTTTTGATGAAAACATTCCAGGATTTTCCCATATAATGGTCCAAATGAGAGTTTCAGTGCAGCTTCAAAGGGCTCAATGCAACATAATTAATGGACTTCAATGGGAACCAAACTGTTCAAGGTCCAAATGAGAGTTTCAGTGCAACTTCAAAGGGCTTTAAACAACACTTATCTAGATAAATGATTGGTCATTTAAAAAATAAATAGAAAAGTTTAAATTTTATAAGCACAAATGCTCGCCTTGCTCTGTTCTGTGAGGAGCGTTCGCGAGTGATTCTCCTGTTCAAACTCATTCATCAAAATGAACAATGAACGAGTTTGAACAGGAGAATCGCTCACGAACGCTCATCACAAAACAGAGCAAGGCGAGCATTTGTGCTTATAAATTTAAACTTTTCTATTTATTTTTTAAATGACCAATCATTTATCTAGATAAGTGTTGTTTAAAGCCCTTTGAAGTTGCACTGAAACTCTCATTTGGACCTTGAACAGTTTGGTTCCCATTGAAGTCCATTATATGGAGAAAAATCCTGGAATGTTTTCATCAAAAACCTTAATTTATTTTCGAATGAAGAAAGAAAGACATGGACATCTTGGATGACATGGGGGTGAGTAAATTATCAGCAGAAGTTTTTTTTAATAGTGAACTACTCCTTTAACTTTGCTGCGCAGCACAGTTTGAACTTCAGACATAAATGATGCCTCAAATCCAGGGGCTTGTTGAGTAAGGGTGTATTATTACTTCCATGTGTGTGGTCAGAATGTAATTTTTATCTGGAAGATGAAAAAAATTGGTAAAGAATCCCTAACTTGCACTGTAGCTTTTTTGACTTGGGCCAGTAAGCAACACTCTAACAACCACCCAGTCACCCTAGAAACAACGCATCAATAAGCTGGCAACCAAACACAAAACCCTAGCACAGTTGGTGGCAAAAATATTTACACTTGTTCAAGGCTACATCTCCGTAACTGAGGTGAAAGCAAACCCTAAATATGAGAGAGATGCACTGAGTATTTCGGGAACAGTAATTGCATTACAAAATCTTGAATACTCCTGAGATCCTCCCCGTGAGAATTTGGTCCTATTCCCTCTTAATGCTGTTATCAGATGTACATCTCACCCTCCTAAAAGCCTTGTCAAGTGATGCCAGGGGTTCTGATTTCCAACCTAATTTGTATTGAGATACCAGAAAAATAAAAGTGTTTAATTTGGTTTTGTGTACTGCACAAAGACTTCACTGTGACGGCGAGGATAAAAAGGGCCAAGTACAACAGTAGCACCTCAATGCAGAGCATGAGATCCACGGGGAGGAGTCGGATCACGATCCAAGGGGTGCAGATGGGTAGGATTAGGGTTGGGTTTAGGGATTAGGGGTGGGTTTAGGGATCAGGGGGCGGAGTTGGTTAGGTTTAGGTCTATGTAAGGTGGGAGCAGTTGGATGTGGATATGAACAACTTCATCTTTCTCAGAGTCAAGTTTCTTTCTAATACTAGAAAAGTTTTTTTTTTTTTAATACGGTGAGAAAAAATATTGTGAAATATTATCACAATTCAAAATAAACGTTTTCTATTTTAAAATGTAGGCCTAATTTATTTTTTAGCAGACATTAGTCTTCAGTTTCAGTCATTCGGTCATTAAATCATTAAAATATGATGAGATGGTGCACATGAAACATCCTTTTTATCAACGTTAAAAGGCTCAGCTGAATGTTTTATTTTTCTGGATTATTTGATTAATAGAGAGTTCAAAAGAACAGCATTCATTGAACAATAGAAATCTTTTGCAACATTATAAATGTCTTTCCTGTCACTTGTGATCAATTTAATGCGTGAAATTTGCTTAAAAATATTATAAAAATACTGTATATTACCCCAAACTTTTCATTTACATTTCATATAAAGCAACATGATATAATATTTACCATATAAGTAATAAGTATGTATTTTTCCAAATTTTTAACTTGTTTTTGTGAATATGTCAGGAATAATGTACAGTAAAAATAACCCAAATATTTTGTGATAATGACTGGCTGACTACTATTGAGACGATTAAGTACACAGTTTAAAAGTCCTTCAACCAAAACTTTTTCAGAATTCAATGATTGACCAATCAGAATCAAGTGTTCCAGAGAGCCGTGTAATATGAGGTCATAAAAACTGCATGCATAACAGTTTTAGATCTTATTTAGATCAATTGCAGCAGCTGTCACGGTTTGAAAGTTCATGTTAACTAGCCCAAAATGAGTAACATATTGTGGGTTGGCAACAAGAGAAGACACAAAGGATTGTTGGAAATGGCTTTCTCAGACTCTTCCCCCAACAATCTCATTTTTCTTGCCCATGTGAAGCAGGATATCAGCGTGTCAGGGAATGTGGTAATGATGTGGTTTTGATGTGACTGATTTATGGGACGAAGGTGCTGTTCCTCTCTGCATTGCTGACCCACACACCTCCATTTCAAAGGCGCAGGGCTGCCCTTCACCGCCTTTCCTCCACACGTCTCCTCTGTCGCTCCGTCGTAAACAACATTGACCTCCCCCATCCCTCCAAAACACTCCCCATTCCAGCAATCGTCATCTGATCCCATTGAGTGAGTGTTGTTGTATTTGTTCTGTGTAGGCCATGTTTCCATTGATTTGAATAAATGGTCTGGGTTCAATACAAGTTAAGTACAGAATAAAGTACTTATAATGTACAGTAATGTACTTAACAATGGTCTTAATCATTCTTTAAATGGTGAAACTACTTTGAGGCACTTCTGGTTATGTGTTACAGACGTAAATCCTGTAAACGAGTGAGTTTGTCTTATGCAAGTCCCTTTATAATATTTATGCATGTGAAAGTTAAACTAGGTTTAATGGATTTGCATGGCCATAACACTGAAACATTGAACTACTTTTAGGTTAGCACGGTATTTTATCATACTAGTTTCATGCTAACACATAAGTTTAAGTCTTAAGGATATACTTCTGAAACAGAGTGTATTTTAATGTTTATAGCCTATTTTGGTGTACCTTTATTGTGAGGGAGTTATTTACTGTAACCATATGAAGAGTTCAGATGCAAAAGCCTCTAAGTGCCATTTGAAATTTTCTTCTTTAATGATGATTTTTATCAAACTTGTATATTTAAGTTCAGTAATTTCACTTAAATGGCGATGATAATTACCTATTAATTGTTATTTAAATGAAATTACTGAACTTAAATATACAAGTTTGATAAAAATAATTATTAAAGAAGAAAATTTCAAATGGCATTTAGAGGCTTTTGCACCTGAACTCTTCATATATTATTTGAAAGGTTGTCTGTAGCAGGGTTTTCCAAACTGTGGTTCACAAATGTAAAATTTGAAGTCCCTGTAAAGGCAATTCTACATAAAAAAGTTCTAAACACATTATAAATGTTACATATGTATTGCTAAAACATATTACAAAGACTGTGAACTGTGAAGTACTGAAATGTGGAGTTAAACAGTTTTTCACCATTGCAAATTTACGGATTGTTTGGGCGGGGCTAAAACAGGGCTCGATGACGCACTGGAGCCCATGAGCTCCTGGAGACGCCCATATTTGATGACGCACAGAGTCTGATCACTCCCCGAGCACATTCGCATTCACCGCTCAATCGCGAGTGACTGTCAGTACAGCTGAGCCTACAGTTTGCTCCCTAGCTATGCCTTCGACACGGACATGCATAGGCTACCTGGACGCGATCATGTAGAAAACAGATCGGTATCTTCATTTAAATTCCCTAAAAACGATCACATCAAGAGGAGGTTTTTAGAGAGCCAACCTTGATGATGAAGAGCTGAGGATCACCGCCAACACCCGCCTCTGTAGTGATCATTTTACACTGGATAGTTTTATAAACTGTCCTCAGAGACAACTGGGATTCACTGATTATCCACTGTTAACGGTGAACGGGGCCGAAACAACTATCTCCCGCCTCAGCGTTCATCCTCCCGTCGCAAAAGCAGTTTCACCTAATATCTCCGTCGACAGCTTTCCTGCTAGTGGGCGTGGTTTCAGCACAGCCAGCGGACACGCCCCCAGCATTTGAGAACAGAGATAACTGCTCATTTTTTCAAGATTTTGATAGCTTATTTTATGTACTTGCCGGCTTTTTTATCATTCAAATTTGGCTGGGTGGCTAATAACACATTTTTCTGTGGTGTGACAAACTCAGAACACATACTTAATTTTGACTATTTTAATACAGGAACTTTAAATAAATAAATGATTTTGCAGAGTCCTTGTACATTTAGTACCGAGTAATATTAATTAACATGTACTTACTATATAGTTAGAGATAGGGCTTGTTACATATGTTACATGTACGTACCATAGTAATAACAGCAAATTATGCATAATTACATGCAACAAAGGCCCAATTTTTACTTTAACTCACGCAGTAGCTACGTCGTAGGCGAAATTTAAAATGTAAAAATGTAACAACGCGTCAATTCTACGCGTAGGTTTTTTGAGCGTAAACAGCATAACATGGCCACTTTTACTTAAAATATTTAATTCAAGGACCTCCTTGAAGAGTTTTTAAGTCAAAGGGTTTCGGCTGACAAAACAGCTAGGAAACCAATCAGTGCTGCGGATAGAGCTTAACTTGCCCTGAACCCAGATCATTCCTTTAATATGAGCGTATGTCTGTGTGTACCTGTGTTGTGCAAATGGGTTGGTATGTAGCAGGTGAAGTCAGCCGCCCTGTCCCTGACGTCCTGATCTTCGTCCTGTAATAATGTAAACAGACACTTCCACAGCGCCACAGTGAGTGTGATACCTAGAAAAAACAAACACACTGTAAGCTTCAGTTTGCATTCCTGCATTCTTGTTGTTGTCCACAGATGTACACTCACCCAGAGGCAAAGCTGGCGCCGTCAGTAAGGTGGGGACAGCCTTCACCAGCACCTCAGCTGACATGAGTTTGACTTCTGCAGGTTGCTCTTCACCACAGCTCTGCAGGACCAGCGCCCCCCATCTGCTCAGACAGACCACTGCAGCCTCACTGAGCTCCTGCTTTTTAACACAACCACAAGTTGATCAGCCATAACGCACAACTAAGTTGTTACATGTGGTGATACCACAGTATAGTGACATCAGATGGTAATGCCTTGGTTTTTTGAAGTATATTATATTACTGCATGCATTGAGATACACAAGATACTTCCAATGTGATTCATCTGATCAAAATCAGTACAATCTGATTTTTTTAGTGTTAAAATTTTGAGTTTGTTTTTGCACTAATGCCAAACTTATTCAAGTCAAGTTACCTTTATTTATATAGCGCTTTTTACAATACAGATTGTATCAAAGCATTTATGATAACATGAAAATAATACAACCCTGATCAATAATATTGTTGAGTATTAAATGTCCCCAACTAAGCAAGCCACAATATATATATATATATATATATATATATATATATATATATATATATATATATATATATATACACTACCGGTTAAAAGTTTTAGATCGGTAAGATTTTTATGTTTTTTAAAAGAAGTCTCTTCTGCTCACCAAGGCTGCAATTATTTGATTAAAAAAAAAAAAAAAAAAAAAACCAATAATATTGTGAAATATTATTACAATTTAAAACAACGGTTTTCTGTGTGAAGTGTAATTTATTCATGGACCTGTGATCAAAGCTGAATTTACAGCATCATTACTCCAGTCTTCAGTGTCACACGATCATACAGAAATTATTATAATATGATGAAATTATTATAATATGATGCAGAAACATTTATGATTATTATCCATGTTCAAAACAGTTTTTTACATTTTTATTTCAGAATTCTTTGATGAATAGAAAGTTCAAAAGAACAGAATTGATCTGAAATGGAAAGCTTTTGTAACATTAATCACTACCATTCAAAAGTTTGGGGTCAGTAAGAATGTTTTTTTTTTTTTTCTGAAGGATCTCTTATGCTCACCAAGGCTGCATTTATTTGATCAAAAACAAAAAGTAAAAACAGTAATATTGTGAAATATTACTACAATTTTTGTAGTATTACTACAATTTTTTTATGTTAATCTATTTACGTAATATTAATATTAAAAAGCTGAATATTCACCATCATTCCTCCAGTCTTCAGTGTCACATTATTCTTCAGAAATTTTTCAAATATGCTGATTTGGTGCTCAAGAAACATTTATTATTATCAGTGTTAAAAACAGTTGTGCAGTTTTTTTTGTGTGATTTTTTTAAAGAATTATTTAAAGAATTGGAAGAAAAAATCTTTTATAACATTAGAAATATCTTTACCGTCACTCTAGATCAATTTAATGCTTCCATGCGGAATAAAATAATTAATTAAAAAAATAAAAAAATTAAAGGGTGAACTAAAAAATTAAACTGTGTGAGATTTAATCCCATCTAGTGGTGAAATTGTATTTTGCTTTCAAACAAATTGTGCTCTGCAGTGTCTCGCTTTTGCAAATGCATGTTGCATCTACGGTAGCCGTTATGTACCAAAAAGCTATGAAAGGATGTCTTCTAATAGCACTTCGTCGAGTGTTCCTTCAGGTGAACAGGTTTGTAATTTTAAAGTCACACACACATAAAATACCATTAGGTTTCACAAAAGAAAGAGGACACACTTCTTCAGTCGCATCTGTTTCTGTTTATTTGGTAACTGATGCTGCGTCCAAATTCGCTTACTTATACTATGCCCTAAAAGTATGTACTCTTTTTGTGAAGAAAAAGTACATACTTTTGAGTGTGTAGCAAAACAGTAGGCAAGCTTTGGGACATACTATCACGTCATCTTTAACGGACAGCTCTGTCGCGTGCTGCGTGCATCCTGTCACCGTAAACTGCCCTACTGCCCTACTTAATTTCCTACTGTTTCGGAGCACGTTCATCTGCCAGTATTGTCTTTCATGCGGAGACTCTCCTCGTGTTTGCAATTTGAATATAATGATGCATTTAAAAAGTAATGGCTAAACGTATCTTTACAAAAGTTCACAATGCTTCTGCATATGCAATATAATGTGGACAATATTGATAAAAATTCATTTTCGTCAGGTTAGATACTGATAATTAATCACTCAAAGCTCTTTATCTAAACCTCTCTATACAGCCGCAGGACCAGTGAAGGATTCGCGCGTCCTCCGTCTGTAGTTTTTTTTTAACACTTTTTACTCATGTTTGTAGTTCTAACCGAATCCTCGTCCACCGCGCAATGGTTTGTGGGCAATATCAGCCGTTAGAGTGTGCATCGATCTACACTTCGAATTCTGACCGGATATAGTAGACCATCCGGGTATCTTTGAAACACTCATTTCAACATACTACGATTTGGGACCAACTAATTCTATTTTGGAATACTATTTAGGACGGATAATATGCGAATTGGGACGCAGCATTACAGCAGTGTTTCCCAACCCTGTTCCTGGCGGCACACCAACACTGCGCATATTCTTTGTCTCCCTAATCAAACACACCTGATTCAACTCATCAGCTCATTAACCCATCTGATTATGAGCTGATGAGTTGAATCAGGTGTGTTTGATAAGAGAGACAAAGAATATGCGCAGTGTTGGTGTGCCGCCAGGAACAGGGTTGGGAAACACTGACTTACAGGACTTCTTTCTAAGGCCCCGTCCACACTAGGGGTTGAACCGACTAGTCGATTAGTCGACTAGTCGACCTTAATGCAATGCAGCAAGAAAGCAGCATTGGTACATAAAGTGAAATACTTTACTAACTTAGCACTATATTGTTGAAAACGAAAGTAAAAGCATGACGCACGCTCACTGTTTTACCAGGAAATGAGAGCAGTCTCTTTTAAAATCATTCAAACATTACTATATTCATATATTTATTTAAACATATTAATGCATCTCTAATTCACCCACAATTAATTGGAATATAATTTTGTATTACTTGGATCCATCACTAACGTGCTTTTTTTCATCCTAAATGATGATGTAAACAGCGGGCTGTTTAGCTACATCTGGCCACTTCATGTGTTTCTGTGATCTATCCGATCGTGAAAAGACCAGGTAACGTTAAGCTAAATACCCTCCGAAACACATTCGAGACGGATTTAAAACCGATCGCTCAAACCACTTCATGAGGAGGTCATGGCCGCTTTACAGACGAAACTGGACATGTATAAATGCATCTGGTTGTTGAAACTGCATATGTAAATTGGACTTCTCCCAAAAATGCTGAAAAAAACGTGTGAGAGCGTGTTAGTCTATAGGTGTGTTCGACATCGCCTGCGGCTGGATGCAACCGATCGGCGAGAACAGCCGCGTGCAGGCGGGGAGGAGCTGCAAACGGAGACGTGAAGTCGGACAATTTCTGGTTCCCGTAGTGACGGCTCACGTGGTGTTTGCATGCTTATACCACAGCTGAAGTTAAATAAATGCAACATTTGCCAAATAAACAGATATTTCAGACACATTTTCATTCAATACTTTACTGCTTCATACAGCATCTGTTTGAACTAGAATAAAGTTCAAAATAAGCCTATAATCAATGACGTGGAATCAACGTTTTTTAATCAGTTTTATTTTGATAAACATGATAAACATGACACAATATAACATTGCGACTACATGACAAGAGTGTTTACTGTTATAAAATACTGATTTGTGAGCTTTAGTGGAACTAAAGGTGTGAGAATAAACACGAAACGCACGTGATCGTTGTCATGCGGTGAATCCGGCGAATCGTGGAACAGCTGTGACATCATCAGAGCTCGTGCAGCCGCTCTTGAGAAGCTGCGCTGGCTGAGTCCTCCGGCTACTCTCGTATCGCTCTCGCGGTACTTTGATGGCATATGTCACAGTCACGTGGAGTCAGCGCTGCATCAAGTCGGACAAAATTTCTAACCGGCATGCACTGTTCTAAGTCAGCCGCCGATCGGTCTGCGAAGAGCTGCATGAAGTCGAACAAGCCTTATGCTATGTTATATTCATTATATGACGAAGCTATGCGGCAACACGCATCACCCCAGCTGAGCATCTATGCATAAAGCCAACGTGCAAACTATCGTATATCAAAGTGAATGTAAGTCACAGACGGTTAACACACAATCATCTTCGTTAAAAGTAAAGAAACAAAATGATCTTACCAGTGCTGTCTCTCTTATTGCGGTCTTTGATTTTATAAGTTTCTGTTAATTAATTGCAAATTGTGGCATGTTGCAAATCAGTCACATCTCTTGTGTTTTTATGAATGACGTCAGCGACAGCGAAGTCGTTCAACACCTAGTCCACACTACTGCGTTTTCGTTTAAAAACGGAGACCTTTTGCTATGTTTGCACCTCCTGTTCAGACTAAAACGGAAAAAATGAAGACCTAAAACGGAGAAGTTTAGAAATGGTGCAGCTCCGTTTTGAATTTCCGAAGGGTGTTTTAGTGTAGACGGGACAAAACAGAGGAGTTTAGAAACGATGATGCATAGGCTCATGCTTGGCTCTATGATTGGGTGTCATCAGTCATGACGTGTCCTTCCCTGATTCGTCAGCTACTGTTTACACCGGCACGCGCATGCCCAGTGTTAGTGAATGGTCACGTGATCCGCGTTTTAATGTGGACAGATCAATTCTAATACGCAGATAAAACGCTGGTGTGGACGGAGATTGTATTCGTTTTAATTCTCTGTTTTTAAACGAAAACGCAGTAGTGTGGACGGGGCCTAAATGTGATATAAATATGTCCTATAACTAAGTTACAGGACATATCGGGAGCTTATCACTCTCTCGACTCCCAGTAAGCTACAGATATTTTCAGTCAGAGAAAAAGAGGAAGCTCCCGAAAAGACAGTTGCTTTATTTTATGGTAGTCAGGTATAAAGAGACGAGACGTAGGCTATCTGACAGATAAAATAAAACAATATTGTGATGGCCTTTATGATCGGTCTGATTTCTTCAAACGTTCACCATGCGCAAACAATGCAAGAACAATCATATGCTCTATTAAAATATATTCTTATTGAATTTCTAGGTTACAGAAAGTAAACTAACAAACCTTGTTTTTAGCGCCTTCTCTACTCAATAGCTGCTAACGTTATTCATCAAATAGTCTGTTTAACCTTTCACGATAAATGTTCTACTGTCTATATTATAAAATACACAACCAAGCAAAGAAAAAATGCTTGTAATTAAAGGGATACTTTTTTTTAGATATAGGCTTATTTTACCACTCCCCCAGAGTTGTTTTTTACCGTTTTCAAATCCATTCAGCCGATTTTCTGATATTTAGAAGAATATCAGTAAACAGACAGTTTCTGGTCTCATTGACTTCCATAGTATATTTTTTCCTACTATGAAAGTCAATGAGACTCTGGGGGAGTTGTAAAATGAGCCTATTTCCAAAAAAAGTGGAGTATCCCTTTAAGACTGTAACGTTGACTTACCTGTCGAGGAGAAAGCAGGACTTTTGAAATCTTTCTCCTTCATTAGCTATCCCGACATTTACTCTTGTTTTTTGTAATCTGCGGTCACAGTTTCCTTTTCCATAAGAAGTATGTTTCCGTCATAAGTATGATTCGCCATAGAAAATAAAATTGTAATTCAGCTTTTTAAAATTGCCGGGTTTAGACCGCTTATGGTTTAGACAAGCGCCTCTTTGCTGCTCTGCATGACGCTGGCTCTGAACGAAACCGCATTGTGGAACCGCGTTTGCCTAGTACTTTTTGATCCTCTCTGCTATTATAGTTTTTCAAGATGGCGTAATGACATGGAAGCCTCTGAGGACTTACCCGTCCCATGTATATAAATTCTTCATTTAAAAGGATAAGTCAGATAATTGGCAGAGGTATTTGTACATCACTGAGACAAATATTGCTTTTAGATAACAAATTACCAAAAGAGTTACAAAGAGTCACTTTAAAGTCCCCGTGAAATCAAAATTGAACCTATTTACTTTGTTAGCGCATATTACTAGTCTTGTGGTGAACAATTAATCCGTGCAAGTGAATATATATTAAAAAAATGTTTTACCTTAGTAATCTTTAATCAAAATCTGAAAAGTTACTTCCGGTCTGGAACGGTTTCTTTTTCTGATGACGTAGGTTTCACAGTTTGGGTGGGGAAACGCTTAACCACTCCCCTCAAACCGTTAGTTTGCTATGAGCGAGAGATGGAGAGGAGGAGCGCTAGAGTAAAACCCTGCCCTCTGTTCAATATTCCGTTTCACTTGGAAATACGTCACAGCACTGGAGAAAAATCGTTTGCAACTTCCGGTTCACGGGGACTTCAACGGTTAAAAATCACAGCCAACAAAGAAAAATGATCTCTGAGGCCATAAACCTCAGACGCCCCCCTCTCCCTCATCACACTTAGTGGCTAATCGTCCAACGACCATTCACAAACATTTCAGCGACCAACAAACAACGTTAACAGCTCTTAAAAACGTTCCACCGCCTGTGGTAAAGCTAAAGCATCTATGCTCTTTTTTCCCAGGGCTTGTTTGTAGTGAGATGTGGCGGAATGTTAAGCCACTATAAGATTAAGTATCCGTAATCTGCTCCAGTCTAGATAGTGTGTCATGCTTGAGTCAGTCTGGAAACTTCCTACACAATGCTTCTCTCTTTCCTTTCTTAACTCTCATTCCTTTTCTTCTTCCTTACCTGCGGCGTTGATTGAGCCAGGTGCACCACCAGCCGAGACGTTAGGGAGAGAGTGGCACAGTAGAGCTCCACACTGAAACACACAGAAGAACAAGTGCATACTTCAATCCATAACCAAAAACCAGAGGGGCTGGGTGATGCAACTAAAAATGCATATTGATCAAGTCTAGAATGACGGAATGATGAGTCTTTCAGACCAATGAATTTCCTTGAATTTGAAATCATTTTACAGAGATGACTAAGCACATTTCTTCTATTTATATGTGAGATCTCAATGTTCTAAATTAATATTTAAACAACAGTACTTATTATTGTACAAATGTTTTTCTACACAAGCACTCAAAAAGAGCAGAACATTTTCTCATTTTCATGAACTTTCCAGGACTGAAATAACCATTATTTAATTTTCCTGATTTTTCAATGACCATCCGGACGTGCTGTCAGATCATGAACTGAAAACACATACGATTGAAAACGACTGCCAGGCCGAGTCAATAGTGGCTGTTTTTGAACTTGATCTCAGAACAGGTGTAATCCAGCATGTGTTGTCCAACAGAACACGGCTCCCAAAATACACTGAGCAAATGTGCCGTTACACAACACTGCAAGTGTCCCACTCCATTACACAATTGCAAAGACACAGCAAGTATTATGGTGTTGCTTAAATCACAGGCTGCTGCTACAAAAGACACATATCACGTCACAATGTACAAATAACAATACGCCATGAAGCGTTTTCCAACACTGAACTTAAGAGGAGAGATTGAAAGCACATGAGCGTTGCAGGGAACGGGAGTCTTTGTAATGTAATACCCAAGACCTGTCTACTGTTCCCTGGGATGTGAAGGTGTCTGTTATTCTGAGGCCGATAAAGTTAAAAACAACAGACCAACTGCACCTGCTGCTACATAAACACATATTAAGACACGCACACAATCTCCAAGCATGTACATACCCACAAATTATAGGGAATAACCCTATGTAAAGTTATATGAACACACACTCTCAATTGAAAGCACAGGTAGCTGCGGCCCTTTAATGTGTAAATCAATCTCTTTCCCGCTGTGCCGTAGGTATGAAAGGATGATTGATGTACACGGGGTGGTTGGTGACCACAGGTATGTGTGGTTTCTTTTGTTGTCGGAGCCCACATCTGAAGCCATTACACTTCCCACTAACAGCACTAGCCACTCAACAGAGTCGCTCTCGTCTCCCCAGAGGGATATACACCACCCCAAACCACTGCTTCAACAATGAGGAGGTTTGTTGGAGTCCACAGCTGCTGAGAACATGCTGTGTTTTAGGGTGTCGGGACAATGTTTTAGGCAATATTAACAGTTTAAATTTGGAGTGGAACTTTTGGCACAACTGGATGCAAATGGGGGAAAAAAAATACGCTTATGCCTAAATCCCTAAAGGTGCGTTCTCATTTACCATTGTTTGATGAATTTTCATAGACGTGAAATTTTGCTAATGTAAACATTACCCACACCTGCCATTGTTTCCACTAGTGGTCAACTGATGTCCCACGTAGTTGGTGATATGGAGAAACCCTGACGGTCATTACAATGCTGTGATATAGACTACATAATACAATTTAATAACAGAAAATTAGATATACCATTAATAGATATGTGATAGGCTGAAACTCAATTTGCAAAATATTACTGGAGATTTGGGCTTGTTTAGATTTCCATGATTATCATTGAAACAGGACCTACCTAGCATAAATTATAGTAGTTCATCCACTAATGGTTTCATTGTCTCGGACTCAGAGTAAATGGGTTATTAAATAGTAGTTTACCTTAAATAAGGTCCATGTTTAACTCAAGCTCAAGATATTTTCATTTTATTCTATGAAAACATATACCACTAACACCCCTTAATTCGTATAAGAATCATTAGTGTTGTTTAAAGAGCTTATTTTTTGCAATAATTTAAAAGTCAGTGGAAAAAAAAATAGATAATACAGTTTGATTCATATGGTTCACCTGCATGTAGAGGTCTCAAGCAGTGTCAGCAGATGCTCTAGAACCTCCTGACAGCTCAAAGACATCATCCCATCTCTCCAGGGCAGCAGGGAAGAAAGTGGGAGGACAGCAAGAACTTGCAAAACCTGTAAAACACCAAGAGAAACTGAGACTTTACTCAGGGTAGACACCCTATTATACTGCTTTTCACAAAACAAGCCATATTTTAGGGTGTATTCACACCAGGAAAGTCCGATAGTTCACTTGCTTTGGTCCGGACCAAATAAATTATTATTATTTTATTTTTTTATTTTTATTATTATTATTTTTTTGGTACGGCTCGCTTTCACACTGCTCTTTTTGCAAGTGAACCAAAATTTGTAAACCAAACCACACGTGTGCTAAGGTCGTCCATTCATTGGACAAGGATTCTGAAGGGAAATCAGGAAGTGCAAAAAAAGGCTCAGCATGGAGATATTTCCATATATTTCATACTGCAATATTTGTTCTTTTACTAATTTTGTGTTAATTCTGTACAAACGCAATATGAAGAAACTAATGAGTATCATATGATACAATGTCATCTATACGAAGTTGTAATTTGGATTTTGAGAAGACGACGAGTGTAACGTTTGAGTGGCTCTATAAACGCGGGGAAATACGACAACTCTCGTCTCTCGTGCATCTTTTCATTCGACCACCTTCTGTTTTTTTTTTTATCTCTGGGCAACATCTCAACTTTTCGTTACAAGTGGCACTGCACAGAAGACGGAGAAGGTATAAAGTTTTCATTCATAGAGAGGGGCTATGTTCACTCATTCAAATAATGAGATTCTTATTGTGTACTAACAAGTGCTGTCAATGTTAACACTTGCGATTAGGTTTGTCCAGTTTAACGTAAATTAACGCATCATCATCCTTGTATTGTAACTATCCTTACATTAATAATAATAATAATTCATTACATTTAGAATTTTTCTCGGCACTCGCTTTAAGGGGGAAACTTGTCAACCACCACCAAAAGGTGGTGAACTGCAAATGCTTTATGAACTGCAAATTATATTTTTTTTGCATCTTTGCGCGATTAGACATTCACACACAACGCGCAGAAAGACGTGCAGAAAGACGCGCAATATTCTCTTTCGACGCAGTGCTTTCTTGCAATTGGGTCGGTTTATGTTCACACCGTAAACTAACCGTACCAGAGTTCGTTTGGAACCGTACCGAGACCACCTCTTCAGCTGGGTCTCAGTTCGGTTGTTTGGTCCGCACCCGAGTTCGATTGCTGTATTCACACCTGCCCCAAGGGGTTTTTCAATCAAACCAAACAAGGCAGGTGTGACTACACCCTAAGTTGCATTATTTGAACGATAAAAGGGTTTAAAACAGTACAACCCACTGAACAGACTGCATATCGATCATGCACAGCCTCATTTTCTGTTTCATGTCAAAATAAACATGTGACTAATCATATTCAAAGAGCAGGAGACATAAAATGTGCTGAAGTCTGTCTAGAATGTTTTGTGAATATTTTCATTTGCCAACCACACTTTTCAACCCATATTCCTTTCATCCACATGAACATTCCCTTATTCCACCCTCCCGTCTGTCAGTAACATTCCTCCCTCCCCGTCCGTCCATCCATCTATCCCTCCACCCCCCTGCACATAAAACACATCTGGTTCAGCTCTGGCCCTCGGGTTTCCCCCCAAACCTTCGCTTCAGAAGAGTGAGGGAGTTAACGGAAGACTTGTTTTTCTTCTCCTCAGACCCCCACTGTCTTTCCTTTCCTTTAACGTGACAGGCCTTGTAGCTCAAAAATGGTTTGTTGACATTATTTAGACTTATTTGGTTGATTATTATTTCTTGGAGTGCACAAATCCTTAAATAAGTATATTTTAAATGGTTTTCTATAGCATCCTTACTTGATTATATTTTCCTTATATTTTGGTACATTGCATCAGTGGTTCCCAACACTGGTCCTGGAATACCCCCAGCACTGCACAGTTTAGATGTCTCCATAATCAAACACAGTTGATTCAACTCATCAGCTTGTTAGCTTGTTATGGGTGTTAGATAAGATAAATATCCAAAATGTGCAGTGTTGGGGGAAAATGCATTAAAATTATATCGAAGTACAGAACGAAAGGACTTAGATCAATATTAGATGACAATTTATATTTTCAAAACAGATTTAAGCACTAGGCTTTAGTTCAAAGTGCATGTTTTCTTATTAGTGTATCTACTTGAGGCCATAGAGCAAATTAGCCTAACTTTCCTAGTCACTTCCCAGAAAGCTTTGGTGGAACAGAAGACTTACCTTGGAAACCAGGCCATATCGAAAGTCTAGAGCCTAACAGCAGGACTAAACATTAACAGTTGGCCAATAAAATAGCTTTTAAGAACACACACGCAGACGCACACGCACACACACACACACACACACACCCACCCACCAGACAAGCCAATTCCCGTCAGTTTGGATGATAGAAACGGCAAAACAGGAGAATAATTGATGGTTGGTTGAGTGTTTATAAGGAATTGAAACATGAGCCCTTTTTCTAAACAGGAAATCGCCTGCCATTTCACTTTGCAGGGCCAAAGAAATTTGTGTGTATGGAGTGAATGGAAATTAAATGACATTCAGCCGGTTTCATTCAGTAACAGTTGTTAGTAGCTCTTGTCCAGCAGGTTTTTACGGTGCAGACGTTTATTCAGCTAATCAGAGAATCCCTGTATAAAGGAATGTCATTTCTACAGCTGAATTCACAAATCTTAGGGCCACAGAGTTCTGTGATCTGCATTTTTAGGTATTTTAACACGGTGAAAAGAACAATACAAAAGGTTTCGGCTGCTAACCTGCATCAAGTTTGATTCACAAAAACTGTACGATTTTTCCAGTAATATCACAGTTTATATTTTTGTTTTTGTAAAGATTTTTCCCTATTGTTTTTGGATTTTTTTTGACAAGTTTTCCTATTATATTTTTTAAAGTGTTTTATAGTGCTTGTTGTAAGGTTTTGGGAAGTATGTAAAAAGTTTTGTTTTTGGTTTCCGAATGATTTGTAAAGTTTCTTGTAAATAATTGTAATGATATCAAATTAAAAGTTATGCTAGTGCATTTTAATGGTGTAATAATTTTTGGATGTGTGAGAAGTACACTTATTTTAATGTGTTGAGTAACACTAGCTAACTGCAGTGTGCTAATCGATTACATTTAAGTTAAATAATTTGAATCGCAATTTCATCAATATAGATGCATAATTCCAAAAAGATTAAAACATGAGATACAAGTTTAAACAGAAGGAACATCCAAGTTAAGTGAATTTATTTCTCTCAATTTGGACTCGGTCGAAGATTTTAGGTTCATCTGGGAAGCAATCAAAGGATTTATAAAAGATAATGTTACATCATTTGCCTCTTTTCTAAACCGCACTCATAACCAAAGAATTGTTGAGTTGGAGAAGCAGCTGGCATTCTTGGAAAGAGCGCAACAAAATTCATTTTCTCCTTTACGAACAGATCAGCTTAGTCTGGTGAAAAGTGAGCTTAATTCAATACTTAGAGTAAAAGCTGAGTTTTTAATTAAAAAATCCAGAGAACACCATTATTTTAATGGTAGCAGGCCCTCACATCAGTTAGCCCTTCGGCTTAATTCTAACGAAAGGCGGGCTTGTATTTCTGCAATACAATGTTCAGGTGGAAATATAGTAACCACTCCAACAGAAATTAATGCAGCCTTTGTTTGTTTTTATAAAGATCTCTATAAGTCGGATATAATGTTTAATAAGGAGAGATGCAAGAATTTCCTTACTGATGTAAGTATAAGGAAACTGTCAGAAATGGAAGCAGCTGAATTAGGAGAAAACATTTCTTTAAAAGAATTATGGGACGCAGTACAAGAAATGAGGCTGGGAAAATCTCCTGGACCGGATGGTATTCCAATTGAGATGTATATTCATTTTTGGTCTGAATTAGGTCCCATGCTTTTGGAAATGATAAATACATCTATTAGAAGAGGATATTTTCTAAGGCAAACAAATACAGCATTAATATCATTGCTTCTCAAAAAACAGAAAGATCCAACATTATGTGCTAGTTACCGACCTATATCATTGATTAATGTTGATATGAAGATTTATGCTAAAGTTTTAGCGCGCTGGTTAAACAAACATCTTGGGAATCTTATCCACTGTGATCAAACAGGTTTTGTGAAAGGCCGTTTTAGCTCAGAGAAGGCTATTACATATCCTCCATTTTACCTCTAAGTCTTCTGACCTTCTGACGTCATGCGGAATTTTAACGCTTGACGCAGAAAAAGCCTTTGATAGACTTGAATGGGGTTATCTTTGGGCCTTATTAGAGCACATGGGGTTTGGTGAACAATTTATCAGGTATATTAAAGTTTTGTATGCAAACCCGTGTGCAATGGTAGTATCAGCCAATGTTTGTTCTTCTTATTTTACAATTTCTAGAGGTTCTCGTCAAGGATGCCCTCTGTCCCCTTTATTATTTATTTTATCTATTGAACCTCTTGCTCAAAAAATACGTCAATCTACAAACATTGCACCTATAATAATAAATTCTACTATTCATCATGTATCAATTTATGCAGATGATGTGCTTCTCTTTATTAATAAACTCTCACATTCATTCCCTTATATCCTGAAATTATTTTCAGACTTCAGTGGTATCTCAGGATACAAAATAAACTGGCAGAAATCTGCTCTCCTTCCCCTAAGCTCTGGTGAGGATATAACACAAATTAAGATCCCAATTGTAAATCAATTTAAATATCTAGGAATCGATATTTTTCCAACTTTGGAATCTACGGTTAACAATAATTATATGAAAGTTTTGGAAAAGATTAAAAAAGACCTAGGGAAGTGGACACTAAGGCCTATATCTTTCGATGCGAGCATCTCTGTTGTAAAAATGATAGTGTTACCGCAAGTAAATTTTTTTAGCTCTATGTTGCCTTTAAGTCCACATATTGAGTATTGGGATACCTTACATAGTTTAATCACTACGTTTATTTGGAATAACAAAAGACCAAAGATTAAACTTACAACTCTTCAGAGAGAGAAATCAGTGGGAGGTTGGGGAGTTCCAAATTTCAAAGTTTACCATTGGTGTTTTGTATTGCGTACCATAAAACTCTGGTTAGACCCCACAAAACCTGTTTGTTGGCGCCCTCTGGAAGAGAAATTAGCTCATCCGCATAGATTACAAGATCTAATTTATGCAGAAGTTCCATTAAAACAAGCCAAAATGCGCTTTGGGCCTATTATTTTTAATCTTTTACTAACTTGGAAGCTTGCAACTAATAATACTCACTATAAAAAAAAAGTGGCATTATCATACTCCAATATTTTATAACTATAATTTGTTGCTGGGTGGTCGAACAGTGGCTTATCCAATGTGGATGAATAATGGGATTTATTTACTAGGACAGTTATTCAATACCAATGGTCTCCGTACATTTCAAGATTTGAAGGGAAGTTATAATTTACCTGGATTCTCGTTTTTTTTATATTTGCAGCTTCGCTCTGCCTTAAAGGCATATGGAGTTCCATGGGATTCTAATCTTCCTAGACATGACTTTACAAAACAACTGTATAATGTGAATACCAAAGGAACCGTATCTACAATGTATTGCCAAATAATGCAAAGTTTATATAAACCAATTACAATTCAAACAACTTGGCAAAACGATTACAGCCTCATTTCCCCTACAATATCTTGGGAAACCATTTGGAATAACATTAACCAAGCTTCTAAAAATCCCAATCATAGATCTATTCATTTACGATTTATATACAGAACCTACTTAACACCTAGAATTAGATATTTGATCAAACTAGAGCCATCTCCACTGTGTCAACTGTGCTCACAGGGCAGTTTTGGGAATGCTCTGAAGTACAGTCCTTTTGGTCACAAGTCACTAAGTTTTTATCTGAAATTCTTAGTAAGGAGATTCCTTGCTGTCCTATTTTATGCTTGTTAAATGATAATTCTCAGGTTCCAATGTCTAGACATGAAAAAAGAATTTGGCTTTCTGGCTTAACTGCTGCAAAGAAAATGCTGGCAACAAGGTGGAAACCACCACATACTCTTTCGTTGCATCATTGGTGGAACTTCCTGTTAGACATTCTTGCGTTGGAGCTTTCTGCGGCACGTTCTCATGGTGCTAAAGGGCAGACCATAAGGTCTTGGTCAGAAGCTCTTAAAGCTACTAAATTTCTTGCTGGGGGTGGGGGTGGGGATGGGGGGGGGGTGCAGTAGATCACTCAGTAGGGAGGGTAGAGGGGGATTAGATAAGGTTAAAAATTGTTCAATTTTATGCATATTCTTGTGTGTGTAGGAGTGTTGTGGTGTGTGGATAAGTTGAGATGTGTGAGTGAGAGAATGAAGGTATTTATGTTGTGTTTCTGGTGTATATGCATGTTGGTGGTGAATATGTATATGTTTGTTAATATGAAAGCAAATACAAAATAAAAATAAAAAATTGTTCACAAAAAAAAAAAAAACAGAAGGAACATTATGTTATATTTTAGTTAACCATTCATGCTTGTCAGTACATTGGGCAGTACATGTTAATCTTATTTCTAAGACAATAGAATTAATTGTGAAATTACATACAGTATAGAGATTTAGCTAATTGAATTTATTACAAATTTAAAACAATACATTTTTCATTTAATTCCAATAAACATGCATTACACTCAGTAACTATATTCATACTCATTCGCTTAAAGGGATACTCCACTTTTTTTTTTTTTTTGGAAATAGGCTCATTTTACATAAGGCTCGAAATTGCGACCATTTTGGTCGCATATGCTACTGAATTTTAACCTGTGCGACCTAAAAATATATTTGGGAGCATTAGTGCGAGTTTTCATCTCTCTACAAAAAGATCGCAAATTACTGTGTACCTTATGTGCGCTGATACGCGGTGGCCGGACCATCATTTTATCATAACCAATCAAACTTCATCCTCACGTTCTTAACTTTAAAGCAGATTTTAGATTGGTTAATATCAGCTGTCAATCACTCCCTTTCGCGGCGCTCCGTTGTCACGTGTGCCAATATCATTGGGGTCATAGTAGATAGATACTATCCGCGAGAACACCGCAGTTAAAGTGTCGTCAGCTCAGTACATCTCTTTCATTATCGATGGAGACACCGACCTGTCTGTCAAGGAGTGTGTGATCGTGTATGTCTATGTCCGCGTCCTGCTTGATGGACAGCCCACGAACATCCTCGTCGGACACGTTGAGGTGGAACATGCCAATGCTGATAGTGAGGATGTTTTTCGTTTTTATTTATATTGTTTTATTAATACATAGCTTATTTAGTATTGTATAGCAATATATGAGTAATATCATAATAAATACTTTGCTTGTTTCATTAATGGATGAATCAGCGTTTTTTTAACAAATCTCTTTAATGAATGATTCAATAACAAATACATTTAAGTCACTTGTCGCCACCTAGTGGAGTAACAATGTGATCGATACAATTGTTTTTTGAAGCTCCATGTTACTTTCAAAAGGTGCTCGTCTCTATTTTGATCGCTTCAGAGACGTAAGTGTTTATATCCAAACCATAATCTTTAATTCTAGTTCCGATTCAAGTTCTTCTGTGATTAGAATATTTGTAACACAGAAATAACAATACTGCGTAGTTGAATATACTCTCTGGGTCAGCAGGAAAACCATAATTTTCCGCTGTGATTTATAATAGACATGTTTAATAGACAAAAAGTTGTCATTTAGGAATGAAAATCAGACATTAGATCTTAGATCTTCATTACATCCTAACACAGTAGAAGATCTAATCCAAATCAGCATTGAGGGTCCTCCTTTGGAGGCGTTCGATGCCTCAGCCTCAGTGAAGAGATGGATGGAGGAGGGACAGAGAGCCTGGAGACCAAATTTCAAATTCTGGCCACAGGATGTCTAAAGCCCCAGTGATTGTTGGTGTTGTTTTTAAATAAAATAAATTTGTTTATATATAATTTGTAGTTGTGGTGATCTTTAATTTTTGGTGGGTGCTCCTTAATTTTCGCTGGTGCTCCTAACTTTTTGAAGTTGGTAGCACCAGTGCTACCAAGTAAAAAAGTTAATTTCGGGCCCTGAGTTAAACAGTTGAGTTTTACCGTTTTCAAATTCATTCAGCCGATTTTCTGATATTTAGAAGAATATCTGTAACCAGACAGTTTCTGGTCTTATTGACTACCATAGTATATATTTTTTCCTACTATGGAAGTCAATGAGACCAGAAACGGTTGATTTTTGTTAAAGTTCTTATATTTTTAAAGTTTTGAAGTTGCAGATTTTTTTTTTTTAATATTGTGTGGTAGTTTCTTTGTGTTGTTTTTTTGCAGTGTGTTTTATAAGTTGTGTATAGTATGGTTTCCTCACCTTAGCTTGACACGCCGGGTATGTCTCATGAAGGGCCAAAGAGGTTAGGCTGGACACACTGAGTTCAAAGGGCAAAGGTCCCTGATCACAATGCTGAGACTTGTCCTCGGTCCTCTGAAGTCTCTTGAGGAACTGTTCCAGGGCAAACAGCCGAACCTCATAGTGTGGGCACTGTAGCAGCCGTTCCAGGAGGTCTCTCTGAAACCCGTCAGCCTCAGGACATTCCCAGAGGTGAGGTGATTCCACACAGACACTGATAGCTATGTGAGCCAGACTCTGCAGGTACTGTGCGGCTCCAGGCACTGAGAGGTCTATGTCGTCAGGTCCCTGAGGGGCCACAAGTTCTGAGGCCATAAGGATATGCAGAGTTTCCTCACGTAGTTTCTTCAGCGGAGACTCTATGAACGTAGACAATGAATGTACATTAGATGTGAGAGAAGATTTATTAAAAAATAAGCATAATTTATCTTAGTTGACAAAATGTACAATGCATTAAGAGAACTACATTGAGTGGTGTTTTTTTAGTGAAAGATGATCAACCTTTGAACTTGCACTACTAAATATTGATTCAGCTTCATTATGACGCTAAGGCATCCTGGGAAATAAAAGTGCTTTTTACATACTGTTTTCCTTATTAAATGATTATTGACACAATATTCTTCTGAAGGCTAAATAAAGCCCACTTCTCCATCCAAGAAGTTCCAATGACCCATTCCAACTCCCACAATGCAACCCAATCCGGCACTGCACATGATTCAACAAGGAGTGGACCAGAGGGAAGGGCCATACTGCATTCCCCAAGAGACGGGCACGGTTACCGTGACACCAGAGCATGAAAAGAGCCCTCGTACGCTTCTCGGAGCATGCTCACATTGACCTAAAACATTGAGTTTGTGGCACACTCTAATTTAGCAAAGTGTCAGAGGAGATTTTGTATGTGTGTATACTTGCCTGTCTCTTAAGGGCATGGACATTGCTCAACACCTGTTTCAGCGATGTTAATTGTTGACATGTTCACACAGACCCGGACCATTATTATAAGAAGGGGGTGATGGGAAGGCATGTTTAAAACCAGGGTGGAGATGTTGACAAACGTTTGTAGTCTATCTAATCCAATGTGGAAAATACCTCATCACCAGAACCCTGACACAGACATCGGCAACATAATGTCAACACAAGAAACCGACAGGTAGTTATTTAAAGAGTCAGTCATTTACCATATACATTTAGACATGCTTTTCCTCATGTTTTCTTGCTTCACTCAGTCACAGGCACAAACATCTGTAGACTATATGATCCTTCAAAATCATCCAAAGTCAGTCTATTAAAAGTGGACTGTGTACAGTACACATTTGACCAAAATTACGGTAAAAATAGTAACATTAAATATGATAAAATATGAGTATAATTTAAACTGCTTTCTGTTTAAAAATTGTATTTGTTACTGTGATGGCAAAGCTAAATTTTCAGCATCATTACTCCAGGCTTTAGTACCACACAGAATCATTCAGAAATTGTAACATGCTGATTTGCTGCTCATGAAACAATTTTTTATTATCAGTGTTAAAACAGTTGTGATACTAGCATTCTAGCATTTCACAAACTTAAATGTATTTATACAAAATTGATTACAAAGGGTTGGGTACAAAGAGTGTCCAAAGCCATGCCTCCTTCAAAACACATGAATGTGTACAGCAAGGAGCAAACAAATGTGTCAAGAGACTGCGTTAAACTACTTAATGTCTCAAAGCTCAAAACAATACAATAATAATGAACAAACAACTTAAAGAACACTAACCAGTGTGGTCAATTTCACATGTGATTGGCACCACTTAACGCGTGTTTGGGAAATGTCACGCCCCTTAACATAACCGCAAGTTTCATCTGCTCAATGTAAATATTAAGGATGGCATCAATTTCAAACCAATTCAAGCCTGATTAAGACTTAAGAATGTTAACAAACAAGAGGATAGTCCAGAAGGAATTTGATGCACAGACTTTGCAAGCACGGATTTTACGATGTTTCGTAGTGGTATATTTTTTTAACGGAATTTTCTTATAGATGCAATGTTATGCACCATTTAATCATGATATTTGTCATAAAACTATGGTAATACAAACAGTAATCAATCCCAAAACCATTTGGGGCAGTAAACAGCCTTACAAAAGCGAGAGCTCACAAACACTACAGTAAACTAGTCAAGTCACCTTTATTTATATAGCGCAATTACAATACAGATTGTATCAAAACAGTTTAAAAGTGATAACATGAAAATAATACAAGAAATTTGTTTTTTAGAAGAAAATTGTGTCATGGTCCACCTGAAGTAAACCAGATTAATAATATTGTTGAATATTAAATGTCCCCAACTAAGCAAGCCGAAAGCCAAATGGTAAATGGACTGCATTTATATAGCGCTTTCATGGACCTAATGGCCACCAAAGCGCTTTACATTTGCCTCACATTCACCCATTCACACACTCATTCATACACCAATGGCGGTGTCAGCCATGCAAGGCGCCAGCCAGTTTGTCGGGAGCAGCTGGAGTTAGGTGTCTTGCTCATGGACACCTCGACACTTGGTCAGGTGGAACCGAGGATTGAACCACCAACCTTTCGGTTTGTAGACAACCCACATGAACCACTGAACCACTGCCGCCAAGCCAAGGCAACAGTAGCAAGGAACCAAAACTCTATCAGTGACAGAATGGTGAAAAAAAACCTTGGAAGAACCCAGACTCAGTCGGGGGGCCAGTTCTCCTCTGGCTAATGAACAAACAGAGTATGATTATGATTTAGGCAGGATTACAGGTCAGAAGTCAGATACATTAACACTGTTAGCAGGCTAGTGCAGGCAATCAACTTTGCCCTTTGTTTATATCATAGCAACTATACAACTTATTTGAACAGTTAATAGAAAATGCAACTACAAATAATAAGACATACTTACAAGTTGTAAGTACACAACAACAGATTGTCCCAACAAAGTTGGAGCTGGCTGCTCCGTTTCAGGAGAAACCTGTGTGTAGCCTTGCATTGTACTCTCTTATAGTTTCTGGAAGCTGTTCTCCATAAAATGTGCAGCACACAGAGAAACATTGGAGTTACATTGGAACGTTGGAGTTACATAGGAACATTGCTTAAAATACATTTTAACAACTGTTGTCAGCCTAAGAAAAGGTCAAACAAATGAATTTTAGAAAAGGGGTGGAAAAACAGTATTTCTTTGACATTGCAGGTCAATCAAACCTCGTTCTTTTTTTTAGCGTATTCTGTCGGCGGGGATTATTTCAATGAGTAACATTGTGAATTCATAAAACCCAGAAAAAACACATTGAAGTCCATGTTGTACAACCTTGCAGATCTTTTTTATGCTCAAAGACAGTAACATTACACACTAACTAAATAAATAAATTACAATTAGAACAACTACTTACATTATGTAAATAAATTAACATTACGTAAAATAAACAGGACCATTTATCGATCCTCAGGAGTTTTTATTCCCAAATAGCTTCCCCTATTTATTAGCGCAACAAACACTTTTACACAATCTAAAAGGCACTAGTTTTATATAACAACTCTGCCACAGGTTCCAATAAATAAACCAAGAATGCCACAGCTATTCAGTAAAACGATGTAAAAACAAAACTGTAGTGGGTCATAGAGGAGTGATGGTAACCATTCTCAAGCCTTTAAACTCAGGCCAAGTGCTCATTACCACAAAACAACACACTAAGAGAACAACATCATTAACAGAGGGAGAGAGATGAGAACTAGTCAGTCATGAGACAGACTTTGGTTAACAATGCTGATTTATTTCCCTTTTACACTATGTCTGTTTTCCTCCAACGCGGAGACAGAAACACAGAACAGGGAAGAACGAGGAAATGAGAGCGAAGAGGGTGTACAGTGGAGAAAAAGGATGCTTTTGCTATGGCATTTATTAATATTGTTGGCCCTCTGGAGGACCACGGTAATGATTACTCTCGGAAATGAAAGCTATTTCTCAGCAGGACAGACTGTGGCAGACATTATGTCTGTGAGTTTGTAGACAGTTTCTGGGGATGTGCTGGAATCTTTATGAAAACCTAAACAGCCCAGTTAGACATCCAAGGCATTACACACAAACACACCCGCCACCCCAGTATGACTCAGAGAAAGCTGTGGTTTCATCAATGCCACGACCACCAAGTCTCAGTGACCAAATTTTGCTCTCTCATAAAACTAGCAATATTACAGTCACTGGTAATAGAAAATAAAACTCATCGCAGTGAAATCAAACACTGGCCGTTCTCGTTTGAACCTCTCAGTTAAAAAAAAAAAAAGAGAGACACATTTTAAGGGATATCTCATCCAGGAATAAAAACCGTCATGATTCAATTACCATTATGTTGTTCTGAACCCATATAACATCTTCTCTTTAGCACAAAAGGTTTTGTTTTGAAGGTTGAATGTTCACATAAATTCTGGCCTATTAATCCCACAAAGCTATCGTATGTCATCAGAAGGCTTCAAATACACTCTATAGAGTCATCTGGACCACTTTTACAATACTTCCATGGTGCTTTTTTGTCCAATTTGAAGTTTGACAGCCTCTGTTAACTATATACCTTTACTGTATAGGAAGTGTGAAGATTCTTCAAGACATCTCCTTTTTAAAGGGTACATATCATGCTTTTAAATAATTCATTTTTACTTATAAATCATACATTTGTGGTCTATATAAAGCATAACTGCAATGCTTGGGTCTGAATTCCTCATTATTATAGCTCCACAGGCCCCTTTTCTACCCCTTTTCTGATGTGCTTCTGTTAGCAAGTCGTTTCGAAGCGGCCCCTTTAAATAAAAAGGAGTTGCGTCTTTCCCCGCCCGCTTTCCAGGTCGCTGAGTTCACGGTAGGTTCAACTCTCCGCGTCCAGCCATTATTGTAGTTTGATAAGAGATAGCTTCAAAAAACATTTTTATTCACACGTTAACAAAATGTCGACAACGGAAGACTTGTCCATCAAGACTTACATATTCGAGCCAGAGTGAGCGATTTGAAAAAGACGACGACGAACCTGCAGAACAACTTCTTCATATGGAGGCAGTGGTATGCAAGTTAACTATGTTGTGTGTTATTAGTGAAAGTTGACTATTTCTCTTGTTAAAATAAGCACACTGACAAGATAAATGACTGCGGTCTGATCTTACCACTTAAAATATCTGTATTGATAATAATATGATAACTTACGTTTAGAAAGCATCAGAAAACACAGCAGCTAAATGATAGAAGGAATTTACCCCTCATTCAGACGAAGTTGATAGGCAAACCCTTCTGTACACTGGTGGAGGTTGTTGAAGTGGGGATCCTTGAAGTGCTTCAGGTCACTACATCCAAGAACCGAACATTTTGACTAGCCCTCTCGTAACTTCTGCATCATTGAGCTTGGACTACAAAAAATCGGAGCGGGAAATAATAATGGCGGATTGAAGTGTTGGACCGGTAGTCGATGTCCTTATTTGTCAGTCCGCTGCAAATACTGTGACGTAATTGTTCAAAAAAGGTAATAGAGAACAGAAAAATCTGAACTGGTTGAAAAATATGACCAAAACAGATATAAACGAAGCACCTGAAGAGAATAATTTCATCTTTTCTGTACTTATAAACACTCCAAATATACAACAAAATGCATTTAAGGGCTAAAAAAGTGGATTTTGCATGATATGTGCCCTTTAAAGTTATACAAGTTTGGAACAAAATGAGGGTGAGTAAAAATAGGGCTGGCTAATAACATATTTCATGATTCAATTTTGGTTCACAAGTTTGGTTTAATATTGATTCAACAGAGTATATACAGTATATATATATATATGAAGAGTTCAGATGCAAAAGCCTCTAAATGCCATTTGAAATTTTCTTCTTTAATGATGATTTTTATCAAACTTGTATATTTAAGTTTAGTAATTTCACTTAAATAACAATTAATAGCTAATTATAATTGCAATTTAAGTGAAATCACTGAACTTAAATATACAAGCTTGACAAAAATGACCATTCTAGAAGGAAATTTCAAATGGCACTTAGAGGCTTTTGCATCTGAACTCTTCATATATATATATATATATATATATATATATATATATATATATATATATATATATATATATATATATATATATATCAGGTACAGTATGACAATTTTCTTAAGAAAAAAAGTCTCTATAAATTAAAGCTGTGAACTTTACAGGAAACCCTCTCTGTTGGTACAATACTATAATATTAAACATTACAATTAACAGTATTACAGACTATTACATGTATTTGCTATTTATTTTATTTTTTGCTACATAATTTTCAATCCCTTCAGTTATTCATCACACTTCCTCACTTTATATAAGATGTATATAATAATTCTGCGTATTACAGCCCGAGCACCTTTACGACGCAAAAGTTGTTAAAGTACATGTGCGATCTTTTTGTTTTTAAGTGTTCAGCTACATTTTATGGTGCTGGAAAACAGTGGGCCGTCTGTACTCACTACAGTAGTATACACACAAGCGGCAACGTGCTCGAACACATGGATTTTACATCATGCTCTGCCATCATTACCCAAACTGTGAAAAACAAAACCCAGACGACTGAAGAACGTGCAGAGCAGATGTGAGCATGCTTTCCCACAGTGAACGACCCCTACGCTGCCGACCACCTACTGACGAGTGTGTGCACGTTAGCCACAATTTATTCACCCGGGAGATAGAAATATGGGGAATACAGTAAAATTTGTGCCAAAATTATGTTAATGGCCATCAGAGAGAGAGAGAGAGAGAGCGAGAGAGAGAGAGAAAGGGAGAGAGAGAGTGAGAGAATGTTTGTTGGTGTATGTTGAGGGAGCATTTCTCATGCGGTAGTGTTTGATCCACACAGACTTGTAAACTCGTTCCTCATATGCCCAGCTAAAGCATCGCCAGTAAAAACACCATCACAATCTCTGCTTTGAGTCTCAGAGCCAAACTACTAAGAGCACTTGGCCTCATAACCACCTAACCCCCCGCCCCCCCTCCCCATCTTCACACACACGTCCTGTTTCACTGAGAAGTATTAGGATGGGAATACATGCAAGAACTGCCCAGAAACTTTCCGCTCCTACTTAGTTCCAAGACAAATGAAAAAGCAGATTGTTAAGGTCATTTTGTCCAGTTTGAAGTGTTATTGACAAATTAAAATGATCATTTCTTCACTGAATATACAGGAGACAGTGAGAGAGATACAAACAGACAGAGAATAAGAAAAAAAAAAGTGCAGGAGGGACGGAGGGTGAATCTACACTTTATTTTAAGGAGTCCTTTTGTTACTGTGTAATTACACAAATACCTATAATATTAACTTTATGTATTTACTATGGAATTATGGTTTGTCTTGGGGTTAGTTGTTTGTAATTATGCACAATTTACTGTTATTACATGTATAGCATGTATGTGTAATATACAACAAGGATACTGTAAAAATAAAGTGTTACTAAAATGAGTGCAATTTTTTAGGGACCAAGAAAAAAACAACAACTTATGTTTGTAAAAAGTTGTATGTTAACTCATTATCTTTAATGGAAATTCTCATAACTATAATACAATGGGGTTAATGAATTACAGTAAATATGCTTTGATATATATTGCTTTTTTTATTGTTTTTTTTAATTAAAATTTAAAGAAGTTTTCTTTGCATTACAGTCATTAAAATGGTATGAAAAACAATCATAATGTTATTATCTTCATGGCTCCTCCAATGGCACATTACTTTCTTCTGTGTAACAAAAAAAAGATGATGCTTCACAGGAATATTTTCCCATATAATGTAAGCGGGTCACTGAAGTTGCAAAAGGACAAAAAAAAGCACCATAAATTTGTCCATATACAATGTTTCATGTCTTCTGAAGTCCTACATTTGGTTTGATGTCAATAATTACAAATTGTATTGTCTCTACTAAACGCGACATGGTAAGTGTGAATATGAGCAAGCACAAATGAAATTTCAAAGCTATGGTATAGGCCAGGGGAAGATTTTCACTGTATAACAATCAGTATTTTGGCGTTTCTCACACAAAGCGGTCATATGACCTCAGAAAACATGGAATATAGAGAATACCTTTATAGTTTTTCTTTAATGTGCCAGCTCCTTTTTGTCATCTGCCTTCATAGTACGGCAAAGAACAGTGTGAACATTCAGCCATCTCTTTTGTGTTATCCAGTAGAAAGTAAGACATATGGCTTTGACAAAAGTCTTTTGACAGTTTTTATTTATAGGTGATTCCTTAAACTGAGAGAGGAAAACACCAGACAGAGTGTAAAATATAGAGATAGATGGAATACAATTTATGTTAAGAGAAATGAAAGGAAAGGTAGACAGAGATTAAAAGGGTGTTAAGACTGAGAGTACAGGGTAGAGTGTAAAAATAAATCTCTGCACAGCACAATCTGTGTGTGTGTGTGTGTGTGTGTGAGTGAGTGCCCCCATCATTTGTTATGTAAGTGATGGTAGGCGGGTGGGATTGTAAGAGTATGCTTGTTTTAAAATGATAAACACTGCCACCATGCCCACATGTGTGCAACACATGGGGCCCGCAAACATGCAGGGGCCGCCCCTTTTAACTGGGTCACACGGGCACAATTGTACCATCTGTCAGAGACCGTTTAGCGTTTTTCTTATTTAAGACTCGCAGGCCTCCAGCACACTCAAAATAACACACTCTCAAGCAGAAACCAAATTTCCTTGGTAAATAAACTAGACTGGAAGTTGGGAAACAAGCACTTACTTTGCTATCTATGGTGTTTTGAGCTCTTACCTGACACAGGAACTGGAATACATCCACAAAGACAGCCCAGCAGGTCTAGAAACGCACCACGTGTTACCAGACACAGATTACGCCTGTCAATTTGTGTGTGAGAGAGATTAAGTTAGGTGATTATTTCATACTTCATAGCATTTCATTGTATTTGTACAGAAACAACACTTTATTTTGCAAGTGTTATATACACATGGTGCGATAAAAAAAATAAAAAACAGAGAGGGGATATTTGAAGGAGAATGTCATCAATTGCATTTTAAAGTAGAAATTTAGGCATTTACAGTAAAAATACAGATTTTTTTGTTAGCATTTAACTAATTTTTAACAATTAACTTAACCATGAATTTATTTATACAATTTACAAGGTAGATAGATAATATACTACCCAAGGTAGATAAGCTACAGTACATTTTGAACATATTTCAGGAAAACAATATTAATCCAATTACAGGTTGTCTCTTGTTTTATCCCTTTAGGAAAACTGAATCACCATCTACTTTTAAAAATGGGAAATGCATCCCGTCTGACCAAGTGCAGATGTATCAAAAGAAAAAAAGGCAAGGACACAGGCATATGTGTCAAAAACACTTTTTTGTCACTATATTATATAGTCAGAGTGACTGATAATGCATCCTGACTGCAATAGCGAGCAGTACAATTAAGTTCACACTGATTCTGAGGATAAAGCATCACATGTGTTGCCCATGGGCACAGAGGAAATTTAGGGCCCTGTATCTCAGACCAACTGCAGGGTAAGTTTGTGGGAGAGAATGTATGTGTTTGTGGATAGAAACTGTGGTGAGTATATGGAAGCTGGTGTATGGTGTGTTGTGTGTGTGTGTGTGCGCACACAGCAAACGCTCATGGGCATGGGCGAGAACAAGAGGGCCAGTGTTTAGGGCTGACGTCAGTATTTCATCACTGAGATATTAATAACACAAACTCTCCCTCTCTTTGAATGCCTAGCTTCATCTTTTTGTGTCCCTCTGTTGCTCTTTAAACAAAAATTCTTACTCCGAATTCAACAAATTACCAAGCCAAAGATTATAGGGATATATGATCAGATGTTTGGGATCTCTGTCATTTCACCTTCAGAAATGAATCAGAAACTACAACATTCACCTCCGTCTTGGCCATTTGATTTAACTTCTAAAAGGTTAGTCATTTTACAGAAAACTTGGTTAAAAATAATAATGATAATAATAAAATAACAAACCAACCATGATGGCTTATGTTTTTATTTCAGTTTTAGTTTGTTATTTTAGACATTAAGTTAAAAGTCCCCCTCTAGTCAATAATTGGATCCAATAAAACTAATCTTTTATCACCAAAATGACATATTTAAATCGTTTTACCTGTGAAATAAAAATTATTCATGACTTAATATATATATATATATATATATATATATTCTTAATATAGTTTGAATGTAACTACACCCTTGCTTCATTTAGTATATGCAGGCCCATGGATATGCTAATTAGCACTGTCTCCACTCACTCAAACTTTGTTCCACTTTGTAGAAAACTGTAGTGAACTCTGCAAAATGGTATACATTATCAATGGTGTGTTATCAAACAGCTAATAATGTGTTGCTAATGTCACACAAACCATGTTCCCGTTCACCATCTCATTCTGCCTTCTAACAATCAGTATCCTTAGAAACGCTTTGAACAAATCAGAACATCAGTGGAGAAAGTCATGTACTTCATTATAACATCGTAATTTACATTACTTAATTCACCTGCTATAAAAGTACTAGATTTTTTTTTCATCTCAACAGAAAAAATATACCAGGATAACCCAGATTCGCAAGACTCCCCTGCTTCGCAGCATTGTAATGATGATGTGCTGAGCCCACCCACACGTTGACGCGATTGGTTATTAGTTTGTGACGTCAGAAACACCAGTGATTTCAAACTGTGTTCTTTGGTTCACTGCAGTTTTAAATACTCAATAATTGTGTTGACTTATGTGGTTTGTCTGAAAGCATATTAAGATATGCAAACAACTATTTATTTTAGTTTTGTTAACTATGATAAAACTGATTAGTACACTACTCACTGAATGAAACACTACATAGCACTGTCATGAGACAATGTAGCATACAATTGTTTGAAATGTTTATTGCTGTTTGTTGTTCCATCTTACTCAACTATCCCAAAATGTCTCTGGCTCATTAAGGAGTTTGTTATAAAGCATCAGAATGGATGAGTGAGAGAGGTCAGAGGGCACGTGGCTGTGTGACTCTTCCTGCAGCGCTGGGTCAGTGAGCAGTGAGCAGCCTTTGAAACACGAGCTCAGAGCACAGAGAGCTCAATTAATACACCAATTAGTTGCAATGTTATTTTGTAAAAGAATGTTATTAGTAGGGTTGGGTATCGAGAATCGAGTATCGATTGGAACCGGGACTAACTTTTCGTTTTTCCCGGAATCGTTCAAATGTTAAAATTTCGATTCCTAGTTTCGATATTCACAGTCCGCCGAGCGGAAGAAGAAACCGCTGAACAACACCAACGAAGAAGCGTCTACCGGAAGTGTTGGCATAACCGCACGAGTCGAACATGAGTAGCTTACGTCGGCGGACCAAAGTGTGGCTTCACTTTTCTAAAAATAACGAAATCTCTGCAAAATGCAAAATTTGTGACAAAAGGAGTATTTGTGACAGAAGGAGTATTTCCTTCAGAAAGGATTATTTCCTTCCGAAAGACCGTTGGTTAGCAAGGTTAGATAAACTTTTTTGACCCTGCCTCTTAAAAGAATCGGAATTGGGAATCGTTAGGAACCGGAATCGAAACAAGGAATCGGAATCGGAATCAGAATCGTTCAAATTCAAACGATACCCAACCCTAGTTATTAGCAAATGCCAAATCAAAAATCGCTTGCACGCACACTGTTTTTGCTGATGTATATGCAAATACTGAAAGAAGTGACCAGTCTATAACCCTGACAGTACCCACCTTGTGCCGAGCCACAGCCGTGAAAAAATGGCACTGGCAAGGTCACAGTCCTGTGCATTTTCTGACTGGGGTCTGTGCGTGTCCGTCAGGTAGGATCGTAACAACGACAGCACCTGTGAAGGAGATGGAACACCTTTAATATGAGAATAAGTTGGAGAGAAAGAGATACAATAGACAGAAAATAAAATATGTATTTATATATACACAGAGGGATCCGTGCCATCAGACTATAGTGAAATAATCAGACCAGAAACCAAGATATCAGACAGAGAAATCAGAGTACCCATTGCAATCTGGCTAAATATTCTCATTTACTTTTTCCCTTAATTGTGATCGTAATTTAGAGATGGAGAGATCAGATTTAAATCAGAGAGCTCAGACAGAGAAAACAGAGAAAGGGATCAGAGAGAACAACCAAAGAGTTTAGACAGAAAGAAGGAAGACATATAAATCAGATAGACATGAGATGGATATCAAAGACAGATATCAGAAATAAATAATAGGGATCAGACAGGGGAATCAGTAAGAGTTTAGAAAGAGATCAAAAAGAGAATTCAGACGGATAATTCAGTGAGAGATCAGACAGGAGACATCTGGCAGAATCAAACACAGGTGTACATAAAGGAATAATTTATCATATTTAGGGATGCATGATACATCGGAAACCATATCGGAAAATTTGGCTGATAAATTAAAGCTGATAAATAATGTATTATTTCCTTCAGCTGAGACACGACGATGGTTTTGAATTGCTTGAAATATGATTGGAATCACGGTTAAGTGCAACATGTGAAGCGGAAGTCTATCATAAAGGCTACATACAATTATCATGAGAACATTATAATTGTGTGCATAATGGCAAGACTTGTTTTTGTGGTCAGGCTCTTCAAATTATATGAAAATTTGGATTAAGATTGGCTTTCAAATATAAGGAATTATCAGTTATCGGGCAAAATTTTCATTTCGGTGCACCACAATTAGAAAGACGGATCAGATTCTTCATTAGTTAATCTTTCTCAATCTGAAAGATATCTGACAGAAATCAGAGGAAAAAAAACGGATTCCTCTTTAGGTCGTCTTTTTTATTTATTAGTTCAATTAACATCCTTGCATAACAGTCTATAGGGAGGGAGTAAAATGAAGGCGAGTAGATGGCTCTATGCATGCCTGGTTAAAGAGAGTGTACAGAAAGCTGAAATAGTCACTACTGGTTTACAGCCGCAATGTGGAAGCCACTCATTATGCCCCGGGAGGGAGAGGCACAGGGCAAAACAAGTCTGACCATGAAATACCAGGCCTGGCCTTCAAGCTGCGGACACCCCCGACACTAGCGGCCCACACCCTGTATCCCACACATCTAGCCCAGGCCTGCTTGCCCTGTCGGGTGGGAAGGCCCACGACGTCCGACCTCGGAGGAAAGTGTGTGTATTTATACTGACGAACTGCACAACTTGAGACCGACCACAAACCGATGGCAGTGGCTAAGGGCAAAAATAAACACCCCATAGAGGTCCATAATTCAGCATACAGAGAGTGGTGCACACATTTAGAAAAGAAACATGCACAAACAAACACCAGCACACAGCCTTAATGCAGTGCTAGACACTGACCTTTGACACAGAAAGACCATTGGGTCGACTCTCAAATTCGACTGCAAGGAAAAGTTTTAACCTGTGGGCGGACACATTTCTGAAAAGATTCGGAAAGTCTGGATGCAATCTAAATCTAATTAAGCTCATTTGTCTCATCAGTTTGATTGTTTTGTTTTATAGGCTTTTCCTTAAAGAAGAAATAAAGCTTGTGTGAGTGGGTGTTACAAGGCTGTTTGAAACGATCACTGCATCCAGACCTTTGGCAGCAATGCACAAAAGAGGAACACACACGCATACAACACAAACACCTAACTGGCAGCACAAAAATATGTGAGGGCAAGTAATATATGAATTAACACATTCTTCGCTTCCACTCTCATGCAGTTTGAGAAATAGTCTGGGTTTTTTGAGAGAGAGAGAGAAGTAAAAGTGCAGAACTCTGTCTGGTGTCTTTATATTAATTGAACATTTATTTGATATGCACTTATATATTATTAGTTGACATCTTAAAATCACATTTCTAATTTGTAAGTAAATTTGGTTACACTTTATTTTAAGGTGTCATTGTTACAGTGTAATTATATATAATTACTGCTAGGATTATGATTTGGTTGATTTTTAAGAAAATGGTTAGGAGGCTGACTCAGTATACACCACCACCTAGTGTGTGTGAGTGTGTGTGCGCATGTGGAAGACCCACATTGACTGCACTGTGTCTGCTGATCTGATTTAATGTTTTCAAAACACACAGTTGATTCATTTCCCCGTGGAACCTGGATGTTACCTAGGGCTTTTTTGAAAGAAGAGAAAGCTGTTTCTGAGGTGTCAGGTTAGGTTAGTGCTGCTCAATCTGTTTCCCTCATTAGCCAGCGTCTAAAGGGAACCAGTCAGTTGTGTCAACAGAGGTTTTAAACTGAACTCTGCAGGGTTCAAGCGGTTTACTCAGCAGAGATGGTTTTGTTATCAAAATGGCACTTTGAAACACTGTGCTGACAGACTTCTTCATTTCATCCTGGTATCAACACTGTATAATGTAAATCAACGATTGTGGGTGTGTTGTGTTAAGGAAGGTATACACACAGTGAAGCTATTTTTATGTAAGCTTACTCATATCCGTTTCAACAACAACAAAAAGTCTTTAATTCAGGCTCGAGACAACATCTATTCCTCCCACTCACACCTTTTTTGTATTTCACTTTCTCTTGCCATTTCTGTTTTCTGTTTAAACAAACACACTGTAACATTTGCCTATGGTCAGTAATGTCCAAAGGAAAGTTAATGAATCATTTGTTCTACAGAGATGGTTTACATCTCTGTAAGACGTTCTGGTGGGTGATATATAGAAGATAGAATATGAAATTGAAAAATTGTGGAAAGGGGTCTTTTGACTCAAATTAAAACAATCTGGTACCTAAAAAACTGATTTCGGATAGACTTCTGATGCTGCATGGTTTAATGATGTACAGCAAAATAGAAAGGTCTTTGGGGGATAACTGAGCGAATATTTAATTAGAGTGGTAGTAGTTTAATTAAGTCTAAGCAGTTTAGGTAACCAGCCATGTTTGCCATGATGAAACCGCCCAGTAAACCAGACCAACCACCTAACAATGGCCTAGAAACATCCTAGGGAACATCCTAGAAATAGCACTCACAACACCTTATCAACTGAAAAGCAATTCCCTTGCAACCAACCTACATTAATAACATGGTGGTAAGTTTTGCAAGTCCCATTCTCATTTTCTAATGGAAAATGGAAAAGTCTAAAATAATGTAGTTTTATGCCACTCTCATGGCACATAAAAGAGTTTAAAGAGATAAAAAAAAACATGAAAATTTTGAAAATATGTTAAGTCTTATGGGTTTTGAATGGCATGAGAGCAAATGACGACAATTTTTTTTTGTTTTTTTGGATGAACTATGCCTTTAAGGATTTTATAACAAACACAGACAAAAACAAAGCTATGCATAGGAAGTGGCATCTATTTGCAGATGCTGTGGTACACACATACACCACTCCTGCATGCACTTCAGGTATGCGCATCAGATAGCAGCATGAGGGCAGTGCTCCAATAATAATGTTACATTATCACTAGCTGATCTGAAAATACTTCACACCATAAACCACCCCCCCTCCCCAGTCCCCCATCACACACGGACAAGATGTGCAGCGTCTGTTATCTGTTCCTAATCTGGTCGTACACACAAACATACAGAATTTCCATATTCAAAGAGTCATGAGAGAGTCACTGCGACTCAGTGAATCGAAATCAACAACATGGATCAACAAATCAACAAGAAAATAAAGAGCCCTTTTCACTATCAATTTCCCTGTCTTTTGCTGTCTCTTTTATAGTTCATGCAATTCTATTTTTATTTATTTTAGATATATGCTTGTTTATTGGTCTTTTACAGTGCAAACAGGATCAAATAAGAATAGAACTGCATTAAAAATAAATAAATAAATAAAATAAACCTTTGCAACTAAAGCCTTGTTAATGTCAACTAACTTTCATTAGAGTATTAATAGACTAGCAGACTAGTGTTAGTACTAGTAGTGTTAGGTGCTAGGGTTCAGATTAGTCGAATAAGATGACGTAGTTGCAAAGCTACTTAGTAGAATGTTTTAAGTGGATAATCGAAACAAGTCTTACCAATACGTTTGATAAATAAATAATAAAACAAATACAAAATAGTGTATATATACATATACGTATATAAATTTCACTACAGTTAAATTTTTTTAATGTTCTTGTTGTAAAGTCTCTTAGTGCTTAGAAAAAAAGGGATGCACCGATGTTGCCAGATACCGATAATTCTTTATATTTGAAAGCCGATAAAAATCCAAATTTTTATATAATTTTTGAGAGCCTGATAACAAAAACAAAAGTCCCACCATTAAAAGCCACGTCCAAGCACACAATTATAATCTTCTCATGATATTTTTTTGTAGCCTCTATGACATACTTGCTGTGCATGTTGTACTTAACTGTATTCTCCTTAAAAAAAAAAAAAAAAAAAAAATTCCAATCATATTTCAAGCAATTCAAAACCATCATGGCGAACAGTGTGCTACATTTTTTTACTTGCCCGATGAGACGAGTAGCATGATTAAAACATCAATTACAAAAAAATAACTAAGAAAGTACTGAAACTTTACCAACAAAAAATGTTTTGGTTGAGAATGATTCTGATCTACTGTATTTACATTCAGCGTAAATGGCGATTGATATGGATGATAGATGATCAATTGACGTAATAAGGTTGCGCCAGTTGAGGCTTGTGCCAAAGTCTGTGTGTGTATATTGGATATTTACATCTAATAATTTAAATCGCGGCAACAACTTCAGGTTGGTAGTCCAAGACATTGTAGTCAATCTGTTCAGACAGTCGTTGAGTGTACACTCAGTTGTACACTCTTCATTGTACTCTTCATTTTGGATTCAGCCTTGGTCAACTAAATTTTAAATTGTCGGTTAGTCACAGAATAGTTTAGGCGCTTCAAACTATCGCTGTTGCAGAGACTATTGTGTACAGGCAGCAGGATTGTGTTGCTGACACTGATGGGCAGTAACGCGTTAGAAGTAATGCGTTACTGTAATCCAATTACTTTTTTCTAGTAACGAGTAAAGTAAGGGATTACAATTGAAAAAACAGTAATTAGATTACCGTTACTTCCCCGTAAACAGCCTGCGTTACTGCGTTAGTTAACCGTGATTTTGTTTAGTCAGACCGTCTCGTGACATGAGTCGTGCGTGAATAAAAATGATGTGAGCGCCGCGACATCAGTGAGAGACAACTAGAGCGCGGGAGAAAGCAGCCGAGCTGCCAACTGTCACACACGCTCACACGACAGTATTGTTGCTGTATTTTTACATCTATTCAAATGAAGGATTTTAAACATATTTATTTTATATTCTGGAATATGTAGAAATTTATATTAACAGAAGAAGGGCTGTCTTTATTTCATTAAAATATGGTGGAATGTGCAGAAAAGAGGTTTAAATGTTCAACAATTTTCTTCTAGTCTGAGACTGTTGCATTTAATTTAATTGTTGCTCGATGCAATGTGCATGAAGTTAAAATATTGAAAGAAGTAAAACAAGTTTTAAAAAAGAATTTGATTACATTTTAGATGGAATATGCAGAAAGAATAGAATTAGGCTGAAAGGTCTATGCTTTAGCGTATTCAGGTCGTGCATCATGTTTTTGAAAAGTAACTTAGTAAAGTAACTAGTAAAGTAACTAATTACTTTTGAAAATAAGTAATCAGTAAAGTAATTGGATTTTTTTCTTAGAGAAGTAATCAGTAATCAGTAACTAATTACTATTTCCAAGTAACTTGACCAACACTGGTTGCTGATAACTTGCATTGTATAACAATCAGCCGGCCTTCACAGTCTCGAAACACTACCGGTCCACCGGGAAAAGTCCTGACTCTCCGGATTGCCATGCCGCTACTCACCGGCGGCCACATTATCACTTGTGCTCGCACATGCAACCGTCTCGCTGTAGTGTTTGTCTCATGACAGCTGCAGCTTCTTTGCTGTGTGCGTGAGGAGAAAAAACACAGACGTCCATAGGGAGGCACTGGAAGTGTGCGTTGCACACACCAACATGAAATACGTCTCAATCTGGAAGGCGGTCATTCATAAAAGTATCGATACTAATCAATTTAGGTATCGTGAGGTTTTTAATTTCTGAGTATCGCGATACTTTTGAAGTACCGGTGCACCGTGAAACACTAGTCCTTGGTTATCCTGGCTGTGTGCTTCGGGTCACTGTCATGTTGGAGGACCCATCTTCAATGTTCTAACTGAGGGAAGGAGGTTGTTCCCCAAAATCTCGCAATACATGGCCCCGGTCATCCTCTCCTTAATACAGTGCAGTCACCCTGTCCCATGTGCAGAAAAACACCCCCAAAGCATGATGCTACCAACCCCATGCTTCACAGTAGGGATGGTGTTCTTGGGATGATACTCATCATTCTTCTTCCTCCAAACACGGTTAGTGGAATTATGACCAAAAAGTTCTATTTTGGTCTCATCTGACCACATGACTTTCTCCCATGACTCCTCTGGATTATCCAAATGGTCATTGGCAAACTTAAGAAGGGTCTTGACATGTGCTGGTTTAAGCAGGGGAACCTTCCATGCCATGCATGATTTCAAACCATGACGTCTTAGTGTATTACCAACAGCAACCTTGGAAATGGTGGTCCCAGCTCTATTCAGGTCATTGGCCAACTCCTTTCCTATGTAGTTCTGGGCTGATTTCTCACCTTTCTTAGTATCATTGAGACCCCACGAGGTGAGATCTTGCATGGAGCCCCAGTCCGAGGGAGATTGACAGTCATGTTTAGCTTCTTCCATTTTCTAATGATTGCTCCAACAGTGGACCTTTTTTTTCCACCAAGCTGCTTGGCAATTTTCCCGTAGCCCTTTCCAGCCTTGTGGAGGTATACAATTTTGTCTCTAGTGTCTTTGGACAGCTCTTTGGTCTTGGCCATGTTAGTAGTTGGATTCTTACTGACTGTATGGGGTAGATAGGTGTCTTTATGCAGCTAACAACCTCAAACAGGAGCATCTAATTTAGGATAATAAATGGAGTGGAGGTAGGGGTGGGGGAAAAAAATCGATTCTTAGATGCATCGCGATGCGGACGTGGACGATTCTGAATCGATTCACAAATGTCAAAAATCGATTTTCAAAAAAATAAAAAAAAATAAAAATATATATATATATATATATATATATATTTATAATAACGTAATATTGACGGTGGAACGCGAAAGACGGAACTCTGAAGCGCAAAAGTTCAGTGGCGTGCACATAACAGAGACAGACGCGATGACTGAGCGCCGAATCCAAACACCCTCCTCGTTATAAGCTGACGTGTGGAGGGGTGTGCGATATCATGATTTTTGACCGTGGACGATTAAATGTCTCCACGATCTGCTTTTGAATAAATATCATAGTGTCGTGTAACAGTGCATTCTATTAGTTCAGTTCTGGCGACTCCGTCTCAACTGTACAACGCGACGTAGCCTAAACATCACACGTTAAGGAATAGGTACGGGACACTGCAATTCACAAAAGTTCATTATTTGCATAAGCCTTGTCGGTTAAACATTTAATTCACGTGCTGATGCGCTGTTCTAACGTGTGCTTTCCTGAACGCATACCCCCGACACTCACAGGCACAAGCCTGTCAAACAGTGCCTGAATACTGGACTAAGTTATCTTTCGAGTCTTATAATGCTAATACTGTTAAATACACAAAATGTGTAAAAAAAAAAACAGAATTGGCTATGTCTTCTAAAGTGAAAGCAAACATCTGAGAGAAAATCTGGTGTAATATGCGTCTATTAAATGCGTTGCGTGCTGGTCTAAAACTTACTGTCTATGGTCTAAAAGCGACAGGAGTAAATAGCACTGCTGCTCTTCATTAAAGGGATAGTTCACAAAAAAACAAACAAAAAACCAAAAAACAAACAAACAAACAAATCTGTTATTATTTACTCACTCTAATGTTGTTCCAAACCTGTATTAATTTCTTTCTTGTGCTGAACACAAAAGAAGATTTTTTTTTGTTGAATGTGGGTAATCAAACAGCAACTGTTCGGTTACCACATTATTCAAAATAACTTTTATTTTCAACAGAAGAAAGAAAGCTGGAAAGGAGCTGGACAAGAGCCACACTAGTTGTAAGCTTTGTAGAATAAAACTAAAATATTTTGGAAAATATAAAATATTTAAGTATGCTGCTAGTTCAGGCACACATTTATTTTCGTTGGTTCTTTGCAATGTTAATAAAATATATTGTACATTAATTCTTCATGGGTCATTACTTTGTATTTTTAAAGCCAAGTATTTATAGTCTCACACACACACACACACACACACACACACACACACACACACACACACACAAAAGATTCAGATAATCAATTTAGCATCGAATCGCAAGCCCTCTGAATCGTAATCGAATCGAATCTTGAGGTGCCAAGAGATTCCCACCCCTAAGTGGAGGTGGACATTTTAAAGGCAGACTAACAGGTCTTTGAGGGTCAGAATTCTAGCTGATAGACAGGTGTTCAAATACTTATTTGCAGCTGTATCATACAAATAAATAATTAAAAAAAATAATACATTGTGATTTCTAGATTTTTTTTTTTTTTAGATTATGTCTCTCACAGTGGACATGCACCTACGATGACAATTTCAGACACCTACTTGATTTCTAAGTGGGAGAACTTGCAAAATAGCAGGGTGTTCAAATACTTATTTTCCTCACTGTATGCTCGCACACAATTCCAGTTTCATGCACAGAAACCTGCTTTAGTGTCATAAATACAACATCTCACTGTCTCTATCCACAATTATCTCCTAAGCTTCTAAGTTTTATGGTGATGCTGTTTTATCACTTAAATTTCCCTTTGGAGTTCAATTATCCATGTTTATCAATTCTATAAAATACTATATATTATGTCAGCGGCGTGGATTAGTGGTTAGCGAAAATGCTGACACACACTGAGTGGTGGCGTTAATGTGGGTGAAGCAAGTTTGAGTCAAGCATGCAACATTCCTAATTCCTGTTTCCATTGCTTGCCCACATCAATTGCTGGGTGTACCAACAATAAAAAAATATATATATTATTAAACATTTCTGCAATAACAACAACAAAACACTTGCAATGAAATATGACAATGTTTCAAACGAGAATAATTCAGGTATCAGCATCTTTCAGAAAATAGCATATTGGACAATTTAAAGCTAATTTCTAACGAAAAATTTAAAATGGATTTAAAAATACTCTTGTAGATGCTGTTTATGTAATGTTGCACAACTTCATGGATTGCTTAATGGAATGCATGTGACAAGGGAGGATTCACACACCTGAAGCAATGTTCCATGTATGTGGTTTTGTTGGATTCCTGGTCCAGGTTCTTCAGGCAGCTCTTCCAGTAGAGTTTGGATAGTGGAGGGAACTTGAGTTACCAGAACGAAAGGAACCAGGGCTCTCGCAGCCATTTCACGTGTGCGGTACACTGCTGAGCGACCACACCTACAAGAAAACCAAAGTACAACGGTCAACAGGTTCACAATTATATTTCAGCTGCTTCATGAACTCTTAAACTCAGAGTAACTGCATGGCATGGTAAGACAGATTTTGAGGAGGTTGCGGTAAAAGAGTGAGAAGTATTTTAGGAATTAAACTCTCAAACTGCATCTTCTTGAGAGTCACCCAAGACTATGCACTGTGCACACTCATTCCTATGACTTCATGAGGTGCATCCTGGGATGCTTTAAAACAAGCATTGAAAGAGTTGACATGTACTAAAAACAGTAAAAACTGTACATGGTAATGTTGTAAAATGTTACAATTTAAAATAAACTTTTTCTATTTTAATACATTGTAAAAGGTATTTATTTTTGTGAGGGCAAAGCTACAATTTTAGCATCATTACTCCAGTCTTCAGTATCACATCACATGGTCCCTCTATTATATTCTATTGTATTCTATTGTATTCTATTCTATATTTTCAAGAAATATAACATATTATTATTAACATTGAAAAGTTATATTTTTGTGCTGCTTAAAATTGTGGAAACCAAGAAACATTTTTCCAGGATTCTTTGATAAATAGAAAGGCCAAAAGCATTTATCTGGAATATACATTTTGTAACAATGCAAAAGTGTATACTGCCACTTTATCAATTTAGTGCATCCTTGGTGAATACAAGTATTAATTTCTTAAAAAAAAAAGATAAAATCCTACTGACTGCAAATGTTTGAACAGTATTGAAAGTTTAGCAAATAAATAAATAGATACATGGGCTAAGTGTATAGCTGCTTACTAAACAAAATCAAACATTTCAACATGAGCAAAAGCTATAAAGTCTATTAAAAGTATTTTAAGTCTTTAAAGCCTAATATCAGAAGGACTTTAAAGTCATGAGAAACACATATTCATTCAAGTGTGTTCAAACTTTGATGCTACTACATCTGTATGTAAAAAATGTCATTTTATAGATTACTGGAAGTTGTACTGAACTCTTTTAGCCTGGTAGTAGAGTGGGGGGTCGGACACATTTCCAGAGCAGCCCCCTGATGACTGAGATGACTGCTTTACAAGCACTAAATCTAAAAAGTTCTGGAAACTCCCTCCCAGAAACTCCAGAGACACGGAATAGAAAATATCCATCCATCAAACAGAGGGGGGCAGGAAAAAGAGAAAAAGAAAAATGATAGCGATCATTCCTCTAGATAAATGAATGGATGTTCAACAGATGAATAGATAGAAACAACAAATAAACTTTAGCTAGACTTGGGGAGCTGTGATTGGGATCTGCTGACAGCAGATGAGAGCGAGCATGGAGGAATGATTTTGTGTTAACATTTGCATTCTCTCCAAGACCTAACTGCAGCTAGAGAACACTCACTGACATTACTGACCTCATACATGGCATATAGATTCTGAAAGGGACACGTTAATCTGTACGAAGACAACGTCTGGGGAGGCGAATGAAACCCATGTCATAACAAATGGAACTTTAAATTAAATATAACTACTGTTCACGGGATAGAGACAAGGTAGAACACTTGATACAGGATATTGTGCAGATTCATAACCTGCTATTGACAGAGCTTCTAGTCAAGCACCTCTTTGATTCTTGAAATAGTCATGAAGAGCACCTGTAACCATACCAACAATGGGCCTGTCCAACGCATTCTCATCCTTTAACGTCATATAGAACGCTATATGACAAAACGGCGCTATACTACGCACATAGCACCCGTTATCGTTAATATAACACGCTCTGTGAGGGCTAAGTTTAGGTGTGGGGTAGGGTGTGCGTGTCATATTCACGCTAAAGGATTTATAACGTCTTGGGTTCGCGTGTTATATTAACGATAAAGGGTGCCATGTGCGTAGTATAGCGCCGTTTTGTCATATAGCGTTCTATATGACGTTAAAGGATGAGAACGGGCTGGCCTGTCCGTATACCCACACTTGCGGTCTTCACATTTGACCACTTGTCTAGCTACATGATGTACATTTTGATTTTCAATACTTTGAACTAACTTCAGTTAGTTCCTTTATAACAGACGACACAATTCAATAATTTTGTAACTTCTAATTAAGTGCTAAAATGTAGTTGCAAACATTTAAAAAAATACACTCATCTTTGTACCAATACAAGTTTACAAAACATTTTACAGTAAAAAATATTTTACAACCAAATTATATGTAATAGCTAATTCAACTTGCATTCGAACATTGTCTCACGATTTCAGCGTATGTGAGTTCCAGAACATGATGAATGATGGGATGCGGTGGTTAGCCTCAAATACCGCTCTGAAGCAGTATTCAATTTTGTCTGCATTAAAGGCACTGAGCTTTGACATTTTTCAGATCTGGGCAGTAGCGGGCGGCCTTTGCTATATTTCATCCGTTTCACTTGAAACAGGCCTCACAACAGGCAGACTTAAGCTCGAAAAAGAGCCCTGCCCTGCCATTACAAACCAAGGCCAGAAAATATAAAATGCAAAATGAATAATGTATTGACGTAATAAGTTTGCGCCAGTTGAGGCTTGAGCAGCCTGTCTGTGTTTGAGGCAGATTCTCATGGAGAAATCAAAACCAATCGGACTAAAAATGACACATATTATATTAAGATATGGGGCAATGTCTGAAACGCAAGAAGCAAGTGCAAAGTGCAAGTAACTTTGTGGGCGGGTATTGGGTGCTGTTGCTATTTTACCGGCGGGATAAATGACTCTTGTGCCGAGCGCATGTTTAAAAGGGGTTGGTCTGAAGTAGCTTCATTAATCATAGGTGTGGTTTGGGCGTACAGAAATAAACCAATCAGAGCGTCATTTCACATTCCCTTTAAGAGTATGATGAACGAGCCAAGGAGATCAATGTCCAAGGAGATCAATGTTCTCGTCAGGGCCGTAAAAGAAAGGAAGGGACATTGGGGATGGGACAAACCCACCCAAATTAGCTTCGGTTAAACATGCAAATGATCATTTGGGTACATGTGTAAGGTTTATGCCTATTTTTCCTATCGCCATGAACACAACTTGTGTTTTAATAGTTTTCCTTATAATAATGTATCATTTGCAAAAAGTAAAATGCATCTGTGTAGATGAGAGAATCATCTACAGTGTATGTGCATTGTTCACACTCTGTATTATGGCCAAGCATGCTTGCTTAAAATAGCATCTGAATGTACACGCAACGCGCCACTGACTTTAGACCAGTAAAAACATGGTCATTTGCGATATTATTTTCTTGAACTGCAAAATATCTCCAGGGGCTGTTTGCGTCAAAACACGCCTCCTTTTCACGCCCCAGGGAGCGCAAGTTCATTTCCTAGTTTACCGACGTGCGTCTGTGGAGGAAAAAAGCCCGATTTGCACGGGTGCAAAATAGGAATGATAAATGCGTCAATGTATAAAGTCATTTGCGCCGGGTGCAAGATAGGGCCCAATGTCTGTGAGTGTTCTTGTTTTTAATATTTATAACAGGACATAGTTAAGCAATACCACACAAGCAAGCGTGTGCTGTTTTCTCAGATATCAGCAGGATTGCAAATATGATAATTATTTTATACAACAGTTCAATAAACTAGAAGGTAAAATCAGGTGACTTAAATTTTAGAATCAGAAGATTGTCTAATTTGGCTTTTGCTTTTTTTTTTTTTAGTTCCAAACAAATCCACAGTAGAGCCATTGTGCATCTCTGAGCAACACTTGATTTGTGTTGAATGAACTGAATGAATTCATATTGAATAAATGACTCACTCGCTAAGGCAGTGATTTGCTGCCATGTACTGGTGGGTTTAGTTTCACATTTAAAAGTAGAAATACCTTTTTTTAAATGAAAAAAACAAACAAAAACAAAACAAAAACAAAGATACATTTATCAAAATATATTTTTATGCTCCACAAAAGTCAGTCTTGGAACTCTTTACATTTGACATTTAACATTAACTAATTAATTAATTTAACATTAATTTTAGGCAGTGCACTTAACAGGTTACATACACATGGCACATGATAATATAGGAAGAGAAGGTGGGGCATGTCATAAATAACTGTCTGATGACCACTGGAATATGTGTGGACACACTCCAAATGGGACAGAAAGAAAGCAGGAGACGCCAGCAACAGACAGCCAGACATGTGAACCTTCACCTGCTGGGTTTAGCATATAGACATCCCCATTAACCCCATGACATACATGTCGCCTTCAGCATTCACAGCAGTCCACAGACACAGCTGGTCACATGACACAAGAACAGAGATCTATTTATGGCTGTAAATATTTGAGACACACAAAAACAGCCTAAACTGCTGCACTCACCTTTTCTTTTATCCATTAAAAAGTACAATATGTGAGAATTTTGTATCAAATTAGCCCAAAACCACTTGCACGGTGTTACTGTATATATTTCTGTTAATTATGTTACATTATTCTAAATTTTTCCAATTTGTAAATTTAGAGAAATTCACACTTTTAAATAGTGCCTGTCCCTTGTCACTTGTTGCCTGTCGTAATATCCACGTTATCACTGGTTTCCACAATTACTGCCATAGTAACCATGGCAACAGATGTGGACAACTGCATAATGTTTAGAGGCACGCTGTTGTTGTTTTGTTCAAACATTATGGACCAGGGCAAGCAGACTTTGGGATAAAGGATAACTAAAATGAGGATGAATATCGGCATGGCATTTTCGAGACACCAAGAGCTTTACGACTAAGCAGAAAAGGAGAATTGCCGGTGCAACACATACATCTTCTTAGTAATAAATTTACATAACGACTAACTTTGACTTGATGAGAAGCCGCTCTTGCACTATTAGACAGGTGAGCAAATGTACATACTGTAAAACAAATCAATGTTATATAGCTCAGCATGATGAAATGTTATGATCATTAAGTTATTCTAATGTTGATCTACTTTACTGCTAGTCTCATATAGCCAACAAACTAACACATTGAATAACATTCTAACTTTCAACACACTCAAATACTGTTTAGTATGATAGTGT